CTTGACTTATTTTTTAAAAATTATCATATTTTGAAAAATAAAATATACGGTTGAATATTGGATGCCGAAGCCCAATTAAAATGGAGGGACAGAGGGACTACATGTGTGCTAAGGCCGAGTTTAGTTCCAAACTTTGAACCCAAAAAGTCACATCGAATTTTTCTACACATATAAACTTTCAACTTTTCCATCACATCGTTTCAATTTTAATCAAACTTTTAATTTTAGCGTGTAACTAAACACACCCTAATTGCTATGACGATTTGGGCACTGAAAGTACTCACCGGTTGGTCCCACAGCTAGTGAGTAGGAGTAGTGACGGGTGAGCACTGCATGTAACTGTACGGCAGACCATACCGGTTTGGTAGCACAGGGATGGTAAATCCAACGGCTCAGATCTTCGTCAGGTCATTGGTGCACCACAATACTCCTACATGACTAGACGACAACATGACACCTGTTTCTTCCGCTGGGACAGTGGGACCGTATCTATCGGACCTTAGCTGTGGGACCAACCGACCCCACCATGCAGTGAGGTGGCTGTACTGCTTCCTGGTGGTTATAGCAGTTTCCTCCCTGTGTGGGCCCTACTGTCTCTCTGCTCGGCTTGGCTTGCACGAGCGAGCCAGCCAGCCAGTTTCTTCCCAACAGAGTATGCAGCGGCTCGGCTTGGCTCTGTCCTTTGCACAGCAAGTGGTTCACTACTCCTCCCTCCGTCTTATTTTAGATGCAGCTATCAGTTTCTTCGTCCAATTTTAATTGTCTGACTTATTTAAAAAATAAAAAATATGAATCACGCATAAAGTACTATTTATATTTTAACATCTAATAAAAAAATATTAATTATAAAAATATTTTAAATAAGACGAATGATTAAAATTTGACACAGAAACTCATCGCTTTATTTAAAATGGAATGAAGGGAGTAGTATTAGTGTGGTAGGGAAAGAGAGAGTTGTGATTAATTATGAGGCCATTCGTGATGAGTAGGGTCCCCTAATATAAAGCCAAAGTCCTCTTAGTTATGCCTCACCAACTACCATAGGAAGGTTAGTCAATGAAGCAGAGAACATAAACTGAACTCGCAATCGCACTCCTACCTAATATCGATTGCTTGAGCTAGCTTGTAAGGCTCTACTTGATACAGAATATATTGTGGATTAGTTACTTGGCTTAGCAAAAAACCATTATGCGATAGAAGTAGTTTGTATGAAAATTGGTAACATATACATCAGGAGATTGGATCATGCATCCTTTGTTTATATTGAAAATTGAGAACTTCCTCTTGTAGCAATGACATGCGAGATCATGTAAGGTTACTAACACGTGGATCAAGATGTTAAATCCTCGATTTCAATCAAAACATCATATATCATCATATTGTACCATGTGTACATGAGAAAATATCTTATTATTATGAAGGTGTGGTTTAATTTTGAGGTGTTGTCTATATTGTGAGGAACTAGAATTATTGTATCCAAGATATTAATTTCTTTGTTAGTCAACCAAAGGTGATCGGTCTTTGTTAATTTGTGTATATGTATGGTGTTTTATTACCCAAATTACTAAGCGTCAAAGGAACTTACAGAATGATATAGTACTCCCTCCATAAGAATATAAGGTGATCTAGCTTCTAAGCAAACTTCATCAAGTTTGACCAAATTTATAGGAAAACATATCAATATTTTTTAAAACAAAAAATATATTCAAAGATCAATTTAATTAAATTAATTTGGTGTTGTATATGTTGCTAGTTTTCCTACAAACCTGACCAAAGTTAAAGTAGTTTAACTTATGACAAATCCAAACATCTTACGATGAGGACATCCAGTGGCAAATCTAGAATGAAATTTAAGGGTGTGCTCTTACATATGTAAATTATTTTGGCGCCAAGTAAATATATTTATGCATGTCATTTCTCTAAACTCAATCAATTAATACATAAACAAAACAAAGAAAAGATGAATCGTATAGCCAAATTATGATTCAAATTTGTTGGTGTGGCCCATGGCCATCTCAATAGTTTAACCGTATGACCAAATTCCCAAATTATCAATGACTTTATAGTTTTTGGAACATTAAAAAAAAATCATCCAAAATTAACAAATTGGTATTCTCAATGTTTATTAATTGGCACATCAGGTACATTATCTCATAATCTGCTCATCGATCATGTGATAGGATTAACGAGCTAACAAACAATCTGGTCAATTAATACTCACAGCTTTTAAAGTTTTCCATACTCATTGGTTCTCAGTAAACAGTTTTGCGTTATTGCAGCTCGGAAAGATGGAATGGCTCATAGGTTGGGCGGGCAGAGCTGGGGCTTAAGCCCCAACAAGCCCCAACCATAGATACGCCCCTGAGGACATCAACACCATCGATACATTCACGTCTCCACAAGTACATCTTCATGGTCCGATTACCCGCGCTCGTGCACGCCAACTCAACTATCAGGTGAGTTCATATTCATCTTATTTATATCCAAAAGATGTGTACACTCTTATTTTACTTAGGAATGATGGAGTGGATCAAAGGAGAGAGGTTTCACGCGGGCTGGATGCAGACTGCAGGACATCACCAACTTGTGACAGCCGCCACGACTTCATGCGAACTCCGATTTGGGTGTGCAAGCACTTCTTGGAAAGCCTATCAAGTCTACTTTCAGATGGATACAGCCTCATGTCCATATCTATTTTGGAGCGGCCGCAGTCATCGTTTCACTACGAGTCCTTTCCTGTCAAAGGTGTTGCGTCACCTTATTTGGGCTCAATGGGCTTTGTACCATGTTGGGTCCATTAGGGACGCGTCCTAGGGTTAGAGCATGACCCCAGCACCCCTGTGGTCGTTCTCCCCCTCTTCTTATACCCTTAGCTGCTGCCAAGAACATTTGGGTTTTGATGATTAGAGTTAGCTTCTTACTACCTTATCGCAGTGAGCGTGTTGGTTAAACCGTCCGCCTGCTTGTAATCGGAACCCCGCCATTTTGTGTTTTTTTATAGTGAAACTTTCATCTTCATCTAGCAATTTAGTGTTGGTGTATCGGTTGCTAAGGCGCAGCGTCTTTAGACGGTTGTAGTTGGGTCGTGAACGTCGTCGTCATCCAATCGAGTTATCCCCTGTCTCTCATCGAAAGATCAGGACACTAACCCTCACGGGTCATCATCATTTTACATTCTAAAACTGATGGAGTAGTCTTTTTTTTTTGGATGGGGGAGGCTAGTATTCTAAAACTAAATATTATTTTGTTGCTATTCATAACTTGTAAATATATAGTGAAAACCCTAACTTGGGTTAAAACTCTTGTAAACCTCAATCAAAAAGATATCTAAATCCATAAAAGAATCACACTAAGATGATGTAACATAAGTACAAAACCATGTAAAAAAATTGTCCAAACTCGACTTCATTTGGGAGAAAAATAACAAATTTCAAACAAAACTTCCCTATGGTTTTTTTTTCAAAATTTAATATTTTTTAGATCTTATAAACGAAGTCGAGTTCAAAAAAGATTTTTTATATAGTTGTGTAACATCATCTCATCTACATGTGTTATTGTTTTTTTGTGAATTTAGATTATTTTTTTATCAGGTTACACAAATCTTCACATGAGTTGAGTTTCCACTATATATTTACCCATATAACTCTAATTCAAAAACTTCTAAATCATGTAAAAGAAATAAAAAAATCCACAACAATGCCAAACAAATACTTGTACTACCTCCATGATCAAATAGATGATGTCCTAGAATAATTAATTGATGAAAAAATATTAGATTTGACATGAGAAAATGATATATATTTTATGAACAGTTAGAATTTGACATGAAAAAAATACTTTTACGGATAGTTAATTTGTTACTATATTTTATAGCATGGGAAATATGTGCATGGGAAACACAAAAAAGTAAAACATGTGCACGGGAAATTGGCTCGCTATTAAAACGACAATTCGGAGGTAATATAAATTAGCAGCATTGCTACACACTTAACTAGAAAACCATCACCAATTAGAGCAGGTACAATAGCAGGCTATAAGCCAGCTATAAACATATTTTAAAAAGATAAAAGAAGAGAGAGAAGAGCAGCGGGCTACAGATCTGTAGCCAGCTGCAGCACGGACTTTAAGACGTAATGTGTGTATGACAAGTGGGACCAGATATTAATAGTATAGTAAGCAACTATTGTATGAATTGGCTATTGCATTGGCTATAGATGATTTGGAGCTAGTAGTGGACTATACTATTAAACTTGCTCTTAGGAACCTATTTTCCATGCGCACACATCTCAAAATGTTAAACGGATTGTCTTTTGAAAAAAAATCAATAGGAAAGTTGTTTTAAAAATCTTATTAATTATTTTTTAAAAAGTAGCTAACACTTAATTAATTACTGTTAATAAATTGTTTTGTTACGTGCGTGATAGATTATTTCTCAACTCATTAATAACAACACAGCCTTAATTAAGGTATGAACATAACTGATGCTTCCTACCCTGTTTAACTCACGAGACCATGAACCAACACGTGTCGTCTGTTGCCACGTTAACATCGCCGCAATATCCATTTTTCCCATCACCTATAGCCCCTACCACACTTCCTCTCTGCTCCAGCAGTTAGCAGCACTAATAAGCCCACTAACCTCCCTCTCTAATCGCCATCACCAACAACTCCAAACTCCACACGTCTCCATCTCCATCGAGCCCAGCTCCACGAGCCGAGCTGAGCCGGCACAGCGCGAGCCACCTACCCGCGCCGCGACCGCGACCCGCGAGGCCGCCACGACCCGGTCCCACCGGTCATCCTCCCTCCCCCCACCTAACCTCACGGGGGCCGCCTCCATGTGGCGAAACGCGAGCGCAACTAGCAAATTACTACAACGCGAGCTGAGATGAAATCCCCAAACTACCCCTTCTCCTCCCCCCTCTCCCCGTTCAACAACCGCTCACCAACCCCGGCTGCCTCACCGGCTCCGGCCACCTATAAATACCCCTCCCCCCTCCTCCACCTTCCTCCTCAGGAGACACCACCCGCCGCCGCCGCCTCCTCCATTACCGAGAAGAAGAGAAACCTCTCTTCTACTGTTGGATCCAACTACTACCTACCCGCACGCCGCAATGTCGCTCGCCACCAGCTCCTCGATGGCCGGTGGGGCGGCGGTGGTTCCACGCAGCGCGACGGCGACGACGGCCTCGGCGTTCGTCACGATGAAGCGGCGCGCCACGGCCGTGCGCGCCGTACACGCGGCGGAGCCGTCGAAGAACCCGCCCGTCGGCGTCCCGTCCGCGGCGAAGACGTCGTCGCCGTCGGTGGCGGCGCCGGAGAAGGCCCCCGTGGCGGCCGCGCCCGCGCCTGTGGCTCCGGCTCCGGCGGCCACGAAGCAGGTGGCGCCGGCGAGGTGGGCGGTGGACAGCTGGAGGACGAAGAAGGCGCTGCAGCTGCCGGAGTACCCCAACGCGGCGGAGCTGGAGGCGGTGCTCAAGACGATCGAGGCGTTCCCGCCGATCGTGTTCGCCGGGGAGGCGAGGCACCTGGAGGAGCGCCTCGCCGACGCCGCCATGGGCCGCGCCTTCCTCCTCCAGGGCGGCGACTGCGCCGAGAGCTTCAAGGAGTTCAACGGCAACAACATCCGCGACACCTTCCGCGTCCTCCTCCAGATGTCCGCCGTCCTCACCTTCGGCGGCCAAATGCCCGTCATCAAGGTAGTACTAGTACACCCGATCCGAAAATTCCCAAAACAAAATCCAATCACGCATTCCCTCAATTCCTTTTTCTACGATTCGATTCGATTCGTGTGTGTATGATTGAAAAGGTTGGGAGAATGGCGGGGCAATTCGCGAAGCCGAGGTCGGAGGCGTTCGAGGAGAGGGACGGGGTGAAGCTGCCGAGCTACAGGGGCGACAACATCAATGGCGACGCGTTCAACGAGAAGAGCCGCATCCCTGACCCGCAGAGGATGGTCCGGGCCTATGCGCAGTCCGCCGCCACGCTCAACCTCCTCCGCGCTTTCGCCACCGGAGGATACGCCGCCATGCAGCGCGTGACGCAGTGGAACCTCGATTTCACCCAGCACAGCGAGCAGGGCGACAGGTGAGAAGAGATCTTCCATGCACTTTTGACATGGGACCACCTATATATTTATCGACAAATTTTCTACTAAAAATTTGACAGATGTAATTATAGTACAATCGTAGTGTAATTACATTGTAACTTATATATAATTACACTGTAACTTGCCTGTAACTACAGTGTAACTTGTATATAAGTTCACGTAATTTTGAATCGTTAGATCTATTACAAGATTTGTTCTGGTGAGGAAGAAAAAAATCACAGCACACATATATGTGAAAGGATTTGTTCCCACGATCTCTATTTTACTGAAATAACATGTTACCGAGAGATTCTTAAAAGTTACATTATAGTTATAGTGTAATTACATACAAGTTACAGTGTAATTACACTACGATTGTACTGTAATTACATCCGACAAATTTTTGGAGGAAAATTTGTCGACAAATATATAGCAAATTCGTTTGACATAGCTTTTGGTGATTCTAGTAGATGTTTTGCAACTTTTGCTGCGATAAAATTGGCATCGCGTCGTTGTCGAATTTAAAGGGTTGTTGTTCAATTGCTCCCACATACCTCCCTGTCAAGATAACGTGACAACTTGGTTTGCAAACGATTGATGCTACAGCATAATACATTCTTACGATGTAGGTTAGGATTGGAAATTATGATTTATATTATTTTTCTTTCGGGTAGGGAATCCATGAGAGTTGGTCATCGAAACATGTTATCCAAATTTCTAAATATTTAGGTGCTCTATATAAAGAAATTACCAGTCTTTTGTTTATTGACGTTTGATAATTGATCAATAAATTTCTTTGATTCTGTAAAACAAAGGTACGTAATTGCAATATTTCCTTGGGCTAAGCAGTATAGTTTAAATGGAGAAACAAGCACTGGATTACATCATTCTGCTACTATTCTAGTACTGTTGTTTCTATAGGAGAGGCTTTGAAAGCATTGGACCATTCATCGTATCCATTCTAACTCAAGGGAAGTTAGATTCCACTTACTACTGTTTGGATATGAAATTAGTCCTCCTCATAATTCCATCTTGCTCTGTGTCAATCTCTGTTATCATTTATCAATAACAGTTGTTAAAATGCTAAAGGCTTTTGGTAGTATTTGGTAAGTTGTCATGCTATCCAATGATCTGACAATTGTTGGTATGCTGGTGCAGGTACCGTGAATTGGCACACAGGGTTGATGAAGCCCTTGGCTTTATGTCTGCTGCTGGGCTAACAGTGGACCACCCGTTGATGACAAGTACTGATTTCTGGACCTCACATGAGTGCCTTCTCCTACCCTATGAACAATCTCTGACCCGTCAGGACTCCACAACTGGTCATTTCTACGACTGCTCTGCCCACATGCTATGGGTGGGCGAACGCACTCGCCAGCTCGATGGTGCTCATGTTGAGTTCCTCAGGGGTGTGGCCAACCCTCTTGGCATCAAGGTTGCCTTTAGACCCAACTTCATATTTACAGAGTTAAATTCACCCAACCCTTGCTGACATAGAAAAAACGCTCACAAAATATGGATTGCAGGTGAGTGACAAAATGAACCCAACCGAGTTGGTGAAGCTGATTGAGATTTTGAACCCATCAAACAAGCCTGGGAGAATTACCATCATCACAAGGATGGGGGCAGAGAACATGAGGGTCAAGTTACCTCATCTTATCCGTGCGGTCCGCCACGCTGGACAAATTGTCACATGGATTACTGATCCAATGCACGGGAACACCATCAAGGCTCCTTGTGGTCTGAAGACACGCCCCTTTGACTCCATTCTGGTAAGTTCTGTTTTTCGATACACCGTGTCTGTTTTATTGTACAATTGCATCCACAAAATATATAAACAATTCGAAAGAAGATTTAGATTTTCTTGACGTTCTTAGCTGGTATGCTACCCTATCAACATAAAAGAACAGAAAGAGGAACACGTTTTGGGCGTGTACTCATGAAAATAGAAGAATTTTCTGGGGAGCATTGTATGAGCTAACTAGCTGATGCATTGTCAAATGGCAATGTTGATGATGATGGTGTAGCGTGTTATATTCCACTACTTGTTTCAGATGTTCCAGTTCAGAATCCATAGGGGGGACTGCTATTGAAAATTATTCGTTTAACTAGATGATCATTAGTTGTCTATAATAAAAAAGGTTGGTGGGTGGTCAGTGTTAGCTCAAATTTGTATTCCCTGGGGATAATCTAGACCACAAAAAGACATACTAATGGTGGAGTAGAATGTTGTGTTAGGTATAGATGCTGGCACCTATCAACTATCATATGTTGTTTCATTGCGAAGGTGGCTAGTGGACTAGTACTGCCGTACAATAGAGAAAAGATCTTTTGGTCTCTATCATAGGTGGTCACAAGTGGTACATGTCAGTTAAATGGTTTTTAGTGAAGTGGGTCCAATGGTATGATAGAAATTGATCTACTGAAACCACTTCTTGATGTGGGAACTGATTGGGGAGTATTGGAGGTTGAAATATCTTGTCATTCAAGAATATTTGGGCGCATGGGGCATCTACTGAGTTTTTTCCTGCAACTAATGCCATGGTGACAATGGCTACTCCCTCCGTCCAGAATGTAACAACCATCTTAGGATAATGTATCTGGACATACATTATCCTAGTATGGGTCTCATTCCATCCTAGATTGCTGCATCCTAGAATAGAGGTAGTAGTGAATAGAGAAATACTATCTGTGGGTAGTGTAAGTTCAAGGGCAGAGGATGGTGACATCACAGGACTTCTGGACTTCATGAGTCTTCAGGATTTTTAAATCAACTGAAAGGCATTAAAAATAATGGGTCTCTTATAGTATACATTATGCCGATAGAAAATTGCTTGTCGCATTCAACGAACGATTTGGTGTAACAGTGTACAGACCAAAACAGTCCTTGTCACCTTAATGTTGATTATGGGATATTAGGATTCTATTGGAAGATGCTGACAACACAAATCTGAAAGAGCAGATGTTCTGCATGTTGGAATGACGAAGGAAAAAAAATGAGATTTGGTCACAAACTATAATCCAAGACTCGTCAATATTTACTTAATAAGACTTTAGTCGTTGAACCGCAAGACTGGCAATAGCTATCCAGTGATAGATATATCTGCTCAATGATTCTCAACTGATTGTTTGACATGTACCTTTTAAAAATGTTGTATTCTGCATTCAGGCCCATGCAATTATCAGACTGACTAATCATGAGCTTGTAATCTATGACAGGCCGAGGTACGAGCATTCTTCGATGTGCATGATCAAGAAGGAAGCCACCCAGGAGGTGTCCACCTCGAGATGACTGGGCAGAACGTAACCGAGTGCATCGGCGGATCCCGAACCGTCACCTTCGATGACCTGGGTGACCGCTACCACACCCACTGCGACCCGAGGCTGAACGCGTCCCAGTCGCTGGAGCTCTCCTTCATCATCGCCGAGAGGCTGAGGAGGAAGAGGATCCGGTCGTCGAAGCTGAACAACATGTTGCCGTTGCCACCCTTCGGTGTCTGAATCTGAAATGGGTAAGGGAAACCAGGGGAAGACGGAGGAATGACGAACGGGGTAGATAAGATAGCTGCAGCAAGAACTCGACGACGCCTATTCCATTTGTTGGTGGGATGCTCTTGGTGAAATCCTATATTTTGCGAGCTTTTTTTTCTGTTGTAACTTTTCAGTTGGTATATATATGCTCTGTAATATCATGCCAGGCTGAAAGGCTTTGACATTTCGGTTTTTCTATGTTTCTATCATGGATAAGAGAATAAAATGCAAGATAGAAGAAGGCTTTGTGAATAATTACTTGCAAGCGATTAATCCCCTATCTTCGTTTGCTGTGTTCCCTTGGTTAGTTTCAAAATGTGCTATGCGGTTTTGGAGCTTTGAATCTGCACACGGGAGCCAAGCAAACGGCCTCTTGCACGGATTGTTCTTCCAGACTTGCAGTGCTGCAACAGGGAGCATGAACTTTCTGTAGATATGAAATGCACCTTAGGAAATTAACGCCAGTAGAGTTAGTTTAATCAGGCAATCTTTGGTGTTAGCGGGCCAAATTTTTAGATAACATTAGTATTGGAGGATTCAATTGCATAGTCTTCTCTTCAAGGAACAGGTTGTCCTGTCAAGGATATAGTAAGAACACAAGTTACTTAGTAAGAACATGTGTATTTCTCTTTCCACGGTTTTTTTTTTTAAAAAAAAAGAACAGGTAAAGGAGCACACAGAAACCCTGTTATCAAGGCCAAATTCAACTTATGTTTATTAACAGCACCAAAAGCTTTGCACTCTTGTCCTCAGAAACCGCCCAGGACTCTCCAGCAGACAGACATGGCTAAGCCGAAAGATACAGGAGGGCTGGACACCCACGCCACAATAGTCCCATATATAACTGGGCTAACCCCGATTATAATCCTGAAAGGGAAAGGAATAAGTTCACTTTAGGTCCCTCTATATGTCGTCGAGTCTAAAATTCGTCTTTAAACCGAAATAACAGATATAGGGAGGAGAGGAATACTGCGAATATTGGATGCATTGTATTGAGCCTCAGAAGACAGGTATGTATAGAAGTACATGGGGAGAAAATAAGGAAGGATTACAAATATGGAAGGAATCTACACAAATCAATTATTTCTTAATATAACTCTAACTACCATATACTCTAACATCCCTCTGCAGTCCAAACGTGAGCAATGCGGACACTTGGACTAGAGAAGAAATCGGTAAGAGTGCTCAATATGGATGGTAGCCCTTTGTGCCGTAGTCGAGATGAAGTTATCGTAGTCGTAGTAGCCAATCGTCGCTGATATCGATGCAGCACAAGTCACTCAATAGTGTGCGGTTGTGGTGCCAGGCGCGAGAGTGCGTGGGTGCAGGCGAGAAGCCAACAAACACGACGACCAAAAGAAAAAATAATGAAAAAGAAATAAAAAAAGAGCACTATGGTGACCACAGCGTGAAGACGTTGGTGATGATGGGCAGACACAATGTCGGACAATGTTGTTGTAGCCTGGGACAAGAGGTTCAGAGGGCCGGTATATATAGAAGTACATGGGGAGGAGATAAGAAAGGATTAAAGATATGGAAGGAATCCACACAAATCAATCATATCCTTATATGACTCTAACTATCATATACTATAACATATAATGTGTCCCTTATTCCCTTAATTTTTAAAACCAGATCAAATGAGATCCAAAGCAGTATTAGGCCCTTCACAGTACGAGGATGTGGTGAGTTCCTTTGCATCGCCAGCGAGGATATTTGCCTACGTGCCGCCTAAACGTGTCACCTTGCTAAGCCTCTTGCCTCTACACAAGGATACGCGTGCTTCGCCTTTTGCAAGTCCACACACGGCCAAGAAAACGCATCGCGCCTGCACTATGGCGGTCGTGCCTCCCTCTCGTCGTCCCCTCGGCACCGCATAAAAAACCAATCCCCAAATTCGCCTTCCCACGCCACGATTTGCTCACTCCCGCGCAAGCAGTATCTCTCGCCTTGACAAGTCCAAGCTCTGCTGGAGCCGACGGCAATGGAGCACTGTAGGTCTGTAGCGCGAGTAAGAAGAGAAAACAGATTTTTTTAAAAAAAAAAAGAAAGAAAGAAAGAAAGAAAGAAGAGAAAACAAGGGGGGGAGAGAAAGAGGCGGCACCAGCAATAGAGCTCGACATGTGAGGCGCCACCACCTCCACCTACGCGGAGAGCTTCGCTTCCTTCTGCAATCCCGGTCCCGCTAGCCCTAAGCCTCCGGTGGCGTCCGACCCCCACCGCGCCGCCCCATGAGGCGGCAGCTTGAGTTTGCCGCTGACAGGCTGGATGACGATGACGACTTCCTCTTGCACGCCACGAAGAAGACGGAGCGGATCCACTACGAGGCCAAGCGCCACGCTTCCGCCCCGCTGCCACCACCGCAGCCCTAGGCCCTGGGTTTCCTCGAGAGGCAGTGCATCTGCGGCCACGGCTCCTGCAATATGGAGGAGAGGGAGCTCGGGCGGTGGGCGTACGTCTAGCGAACGACTCCGGTGAGGCTCTCCCCCTCTCCAAAATCATCTCTTTGCCCCCCCCAACCTCCCTCCCCCCCCCCCACTCTCTCTGCTGCAAGGCGAAGCAATCATGGTGGACTGGGCAACGACGACCGACGGGTTGAGGGACACTATGGCGATGGGTCCGAGAAAGGCGAAGGGTAGTTGGCGGAATTAATTTCTTGGGCTGGGGCACCTTCCTTGCCTTGGTCACCTGCATTTGGGCTTTGTGGCCTTTACAGTAGCTCGCCCCAAATCAAAGCCACGCAAAAGAAGTAACATGCACTATGGAGTTGAATAGCTTTGGGCCGATTTCGTAGCGTGACTTGCATTGCTACTGCCCTTATGTCCAGTTTTAGCGAACATGAAAATCTGAGTCAATGGGACCCACACGGACCCCACATGTCGGTGGCTAGCACTTTCTTCCTCCTCTCTCCCTCTCTCTTGCTTTTCTCCTCCTCCTTCAAATTTAAATTACAAATCATTTTTCACAAAGTTTTATATCTCCATTTAAAAGGGATGCATTAAAATAATGGACTAAGAGAAAAACAATAAAACTAAAATGTCATATGATAAAGCCCTAAAACTAAAGTGTCATATAACAATATCATAGAGTGTCTTAGAGTAAATTTTTTTGATTGAAAAAAAAAAAGCTCATCGACAGATTCCACACGACGCCAAAAAGAGCCCAAGACTCCAACCGGACCAGGGAGCAGCATCTGGACGCACGAGAGAGAGCATCTCAAGTCAACGTAGGATAGGAATGGGATTCGCCACACGCGTACGATAGTGCTGGCACGGAACGGAATACAACTTATCAGATCACCTGCCACGATAGAAAGAGGGAAAAAAAAACACGGCATCAGACAGCTCATAACAGCTCTGCATCAAAGGGGAAGTATATATATACGGTGAAAACAGTAAGTTTATCGAAATTCTGAGAATTTCCTAAAGAAAAGTTCTGAGAACGACCCGGGAGTTATTTGTGAAAGTAAGACTACAGAGACAAATGAGTTGCAGTGGCATAACTACATATAATCGTCAGTAACTATAACGCGTGACTTGGCGTTTCAGCTTAAGATTTTTATAATTTAGATTATTTACAATATTATGAAACAACCAGATAAATTATTATGATAGACTATTATAATCTATAAGCTAGATTAGTATAATCTGTAGTCTCCACTAAATGTGCTTTTCTTTAAAGATTATTGGTAGGTAAAGATCTACTACCCTTAAAAATTTTATGCAAATTACCGACCGCCACCGTCTCATCCTCCTCCCACTCGCAATAGCTAAGGGTATTATAGACATTAGTATTTCAAACCCAATAATCTATGCTTCCAATAATGCAAACAGACAAACAACTCATAACTTACCCCCTCCGTCAAAAAAAAACCAATCCTACGTGTCCAGATTTATTGCTAGGATTAGATTCTTTTTGAATGGAGTAGTATTCTACTATAACTTATTATAATCAACCTTATAATAATCTGACTCAATAATCTTAAATTGAAACAAACATGGCCTTAAAACCTAAAACTAGGTAACTCTGACGTCTTAAAAATATGGATTATTGAATAATCTTTCTTTTTTAAAAAAAAAGAAGAAGAAGAAGAGAGTTTAAGACTTCTGGATGTGCTTGCAAGTCACTACTATCTTCGTTTTATATTATAAATTATTTGACTTTTTTCTAAATCAAACTTCTATAGTTTTGATTAAGTTTATAAAAAATATAATAATATTTTCAGCATAAAAAACTATCAAAATATGCTTAATGTTAGATTTGATAAAAACTAATTTAGTGCTATGAATGTTGTTATATTTTTCTATAAATTTGAGAAAACTTAAAAAGGGTAACTTTTGAAAAGTCAAATTTACTTGTAATATGAAAATTGTAGGATGACAAAGATAATCAAAGGGGGGCCGGTTTTTGACAGTTCAAAAAATTAGCAATTTCTCTTTTTTTTCATGCATTGGTAATATATAAAAGCGAATAGTTTCCAAAAGTCGACGACAAAGATTAGCTACAGATGTCAGATTTTGAAATTTAGGATTGGTGGGTACATCAAGTTCATAGTGACGTAATTGACATCTCAAATTGGCTCTCTCTTCTTCTAAAAAATCAGCAGGATAGAACTTTGAAGCTAGAGAGCACACTTTATCAATATTGAATGAACTGAATGAATCACTTGGATCCAAAGATGTACACAAAGTGAGAAGCTCTGTTGCTTGTTCACTGAATCTGCTATGATATATGGGGGTAATAAAAAATTTTGTTTTTATTGGGAGGGGCCATGGCCCCTGCCAGCACCCCCTCAGTTCCGCCACTGAATAAGCCTGTAAAGTACGGCCGTGTTTAGTTAGTGTGCCAAAATTTCTTTTGAAGTATACGGACACATATTTAAAGTATTAAACGTAGACTAATAACAAAATAAATTACAGATTACACATGTAAACTGTGAGACGAATTTATTAAGCCTAATTAATTTATCATTAGCAAATATTTACTGTAGCATCACATTGTTAAATCATGGTGTAATTAGACTTAAAAGATTTGTCTCTCAATTTACATGCAAACTGTGCGATTGATTTTTTTCGTCCAGATTTAATGCTTGATGCATGTGTCCAAACATTTGATATGACAGAATTTTTGAAAGTTTGAAGATAACTAAACACTGCCTACAATTGAAAAAAAAATAAATCAACTAATTCAAATTTTGGTTGTGATTGATAAGTCGAAGAGTAAACGATGGGGCTGATTATCACAGCGGATTTTATCAAAGTTTAGCAATCACAAGATATGAATGTCGCTTAAATTTTATTAGGGTGCCTACTTGTAGTTTTTTTACCAGAACTTCCGTACTAGGTTCCATTACTTTTTTTTCTTTTTCCTTTTGGCTTTGATGTAGGTAGACGGGGTTATAAAAATCGTTAATATTAGGGAATGACCGATGAGGCTTCGAAACTAGCCCACCATATTGTGTGGAGCTAACTGGAAAACCCCTTGGCGTTTCCTGGGTACGGGGTTGTGTTTGCGAGTAAAGGAAAATAGAAGTGAGTTATTAACGCACGATTAATTATATAAATATTAATTTTTAAATTTAAAGAAATGAATTAATATAAACTTTAAATCAAATTTTTTTAAAAAAAACACACACACACACACCCCGCTAGGAAAGCGTACACAATACCACCAATGAGTCAGTTTTTCTCCCAATCCGCTGAACACAGCTATGCGAAGCAAACAGTCCACGGTTTCAAAATCTGGGGCACTATAAAAATTCCCCACCGCGAAACCACCACAGCCGCGTGGTCTCCGACTCCCCTCCCCTACCCTACCCACGCCCACCGATCTGATCCACCTCGCCCCTCCCCTCCTCTCCTTGCCCGCCTCGGCCTCCGGGCTCCGGCGATGGCGGCGGGGAACGGCCGGATGGAGGCGGCGCTGGGCTGCCTCGCGGCGCTCCCCGACGAGGTGCTCTGCGCCGTCGTCGACCTCCTCCCGCCCACCGACGTCGGCCGCCTCGCCTGCGTCAGCAGGTTCGCCGCCGTGGACTCTCTCTCTCTCTCTCTCTCCTTCTGCTGCCTTCCCCCACCTCCTTTTATTTACCAGTAGTACTACTTTGTTTATGCTGGGTTTTCTTTCTCAGCCTCCCTTTTTTGTTAGTTTGCTGGAAATGCTGAGGTTGTGATGCTTCGGTATGTGATGAGTCATGATCGCTCTGGATGACTAGTAAAGTGTATCTGATTGCGAATTTTGTTTGATCGTGGTCAGTTATAAGAGTGGAAAATGAGCCAATTTGCACAAATTGTAGTTTAATCTATTTAATCAGTTGAACTGATTGAAGAGCTGAAGCCATGTTAAATTATTACACATTATATGTTTTACAATATGATGGTATATATGGTATGTGTGTTTGGGGAAAAGAATCAGAGAGGAAACATTTACGTTTCAGTGAGACTCTTGTGGATTTTTTTTAGGCATGGGCCATCCATGGAAAAAATGAATTTGCACTTTAAGTAATGTTTAAAACATGCGACTCATGGAAAAAAATGAATTTACATTTAAGTCTAAATTAGATGTCAGCAGTTTAGTTTTTGATTTCCGCATGCTTGTTTTGGTTTTTCTTCTAGGCAGCACTGTCATGCCAAATGAATACACTACATGCTTTCTGTAATTGTGAGATGTAATAAAGTGGTTCATAGGGATAAGGAAATAAATGCTACACTATTAACTTCTTCCCTGACCTTGCTATGATTATTTGCTTTCTTATAGCATCTGCGCAGTTGCACTGCCTTGTTGTGCAATAGCTAATAGGATGTGACTGTGGCATTAACTTAAATTTCTTGACAGTGTCATGTACATACTTTGCAATGAGGAGCCTCTCTGGATGAGCAAGTGTCTTTCAGTTGGGGGTCTTCTTGTGTATAGAGGTTCTTGGAAGAAAACAGCATTGTCTAGGTATGTGCCAATTCTATATTGTGATGTTACTTTTAGCGCAGAGATATGTAGTTATGTTATGCTCAGTATCTTGGAAACCATTTGCATATAACTATGATGGTCACTAAAATGATTACATACTGTTTGCTTCGCCTTCCAGACTTAATCTTTGTTCAGAAAATGATGAGATTTACCAGAAGCCTCGCCATTTTGATGGTAAGATACGTTTCCTTTTGTTAGCATTCATTTTGCTTATATAATCTGCTGCTTATACACTTAATTTCCTTCAGGGTTCAATTCCATGCACTTATACAGGAGATGGTACAGATGTTTTACTAATTTGAGTAGCTTTTCCTTTGATAATGGGCACGTTGAAAGGAAAGATGACCTTTCTCTAGACCAATTTCGCGCTCAGTATGATGGAAAATGTCCAGTAAGAACTGGTTAACCTTTTGTTTACTTCATATTGAACAACGTAGAATTTGTACACTCTTCTCTTTATTGTGTTTGTCTCCCTGAAAGCACTTTAATTATGTTGCACTGATAGGTTTTGCTTACTAAACTGGCTGAAACCTGGCCAGCAAGGACTAAATGGACAGCGCAGCAACTGACACATGATTATGGTGAAGTTCCCTTTAGGATATCTCAGAGAAGCCCTCAAAAGATAAAAATGAAACTAAAAGATTATGTTTTTTACATGGAACTCCAGCATGACGAAGATCCACTTTACATATTTGATGATAAGGTGATCATAACTTTAGTTTTGCTTGTGTTGTTGAAGTTTCAAAAAGAGAATCTTAGTTGACAAATCATTGCAGTTTGGAGAATCAGCACCTACACTATTGGAAGATTACAGTGTCCCTCATCTATTTCAAGAAGATTTCTTTGAAATCATGGATTACGACCAACGACCAGCTTTCAGATGGCTTATTATTGGACCAGAGAGATCAGGTGCTTCTTGGCATGTTGATCCAGGGTTGACCAGTGCCTGGAATACTCTTCTTTGTGGCCGAAAAAGGTTAGGATCATTATTTTTACATATAGTAGTTGTTACCCAACGGTGCTCCTGAGTCATTGGTGTGTTCTTATAACACTTTTACTATTTTTGCTTTTACAAAATTATCGTGGCAATATTTACACCTTGATATACTGATATTGATTTTATCATCAATCCTGCAACTTCTGTTTTGGATGGAAGAATGTAATGTATATGTTGGAGGCTCATCTGTAGATGATGAGGCATTCAGATGTGCACCAAACCCGATAGTATTTAAGGGTTCAAGTCGTAGACTGGCGTCCACTAATTTTACACTTTTAGGGGCACATTCAGTGGGAAGTGTGTGCACCTTTGGAGACCCTCAGTCAGTGGGTGCGTGTAGTGGACACAAGTGTGTGCTTGTAGTGTGTGTTGAATGTGTGCACCCACGCCATGCTATCTTTCTTTAAAAAATGTTATAAAACTAAAATGAATAGTCCACTAACAGTGTCCATCTATTTCATAGGTGGGCAATGTACCCTCCTGGAAGAGTACCAGGTGGTGTCACAGTACATGTCAGTGATGAAGATGGTGATGTTGACATTGAAACTCCTACATCTTTGCAGGTGTTTTACTTACTACTGCCTTTGCTTTCCTTCAGACTTCTCTTGTTTCTCCATGTTACTCAAATTAATTTGTTTGTCTTGCAGTGGTGGCTAGATATCTACCCAAATCTTGCTGAGCATGAGAAACCACTGGAATGCACACAATTACCAGGAGAGACCATATTTGTTCCTAGTGGGTGGTGGCATTGTGTTTTGAACCTTGACATGACAATTGCTGTCACGCAAAATTTTGTCAACCAATCAAATTTTAAGCATGTATGTTTGGACATGGCACCTGGTTACTGTCACAAAGGAGTTTGCCGTGCTGGCTTACTTGCTGCTCCAGACAAATCTATTAGAGATATTGAAAATCTTCCTAGTATAACGAGTAGATTGAACCACTCTGACATGGCCTGTAAGGAAAAAAGACTGAAAAGTTCAGAGCCTATAAGAACTTCAAATAATGCAAATCAGTGTTCTGCATTTGAGTTCTCAGATGTTCATGAAAACTTGGGGGACCAAGTTTTTTCGTATGATATAGATTTCTTATCCCAATTCCTTGAGAAAGAAAAGGATCACTATTCTTCTGTCTGGAGCCCTACTAATTCAATTGGCCAGAGAGAAGCAAGAGAATGGCTACGTAGGCTATGGGTTCTTAAACCTGAATTGAGAGAACTAATATGGAAGGTGAGCTTTGTTCTCACAATTATATGAAGTTTTATAGTCCTTGAATTTATGTGTATGCAAATGACATCTGATTGGTCCTGCAGGGTGCATGTCTAGCAATTAATGTAGACAAGTGGTATTCATGCTTAGAGGAAATAAGTGCATGCCATAGTTTACCACCACCTTCTGAAGATGAGAAGCTTCCTGTTGGCACAGGTAGCAACCCAGTAAGTGTACTCTTATGAGAATGGTTAAGTTTAAACTATCGATAAGCTATTGTGGCTTGTTAGCACTGCAAACCTTAAAGTAACCAAAGCACTGAGAATATTTATAGTATCATATTAATTATATATAATTAACTCCAGTAAGTCCATATGCTACAGATATCACAACAGCGATGAATCCATAATTTCATATACATTTTATTTATATTTTTTAGGGGCAACCAAAGGAAGATGCGCTGCTTATATTGAAAGCATAAAGCAAGAAACAGAGTTCATTGGCCAAGCATACAAACACAGTAACAGACAACACAAACTACCAATTTAAATGCATTCGGTCCTTCTGTTTAGTGAAGCTAACTCAAGAAGATTTGTAGGTGGTACATAGTTGCTCTCTATGGTACCATGACATGTTATAGCTCATATGTTTGCCGGTCAATTTGGTAATTTATTTAACCTATACTCTGAACTTTTCAGGTCTTCATTGTTTCTGGCAATGTGATCAAAATTTATGCTGAAGGAGGGTTGGGTTATTCTATACATGGTTTGGGCACAGAGGTATTGCATTTCGTCCTAAAGCTTAGGAAGTTAGTACTCGTTGGATGCCACACTTCTGATTTTTTTTTTCTGGCTGCAGCTTGAGTTCTATGATCTTCTGCAAAAACTTGGCTCGCCATTGATCAACCATGTCCCTGAGATCATTGCAAGTGGCTTTCTTGTGTACCTGGATGGTGTCTACAAGACAGTTCCATGGGATGGAAACGGAATACCAGATGTTCTAGCTAAATACTACTCTTTGGAGGTGTCTTATGCAAACGGCTCTTTTCCTCTTGGATTATGGAGCAAGCAACTGTTTGGATTGAGTAATTCAACTGATGCTCCAGACAGACCAATTTGTCCTTACATGGTTACCAGAAAATGCAAAGGGGATATTTTTGCTCGCATGTAAGTTTGTTTACTTGAGGGAAGTGTGGTTCTCCTAATTAATTTTAGAAATTGTACTTAAAACTTTTTAATTTTTTTCAGACGTGATAAATTGACCAAGACTGATGTTTTGAATCTTGCATCATCCTTGGGAGTTCAAATGCGAAATATTCATCAATTACCCCTTCCACATGTGGAACACATATCCAAATCTGGGAACGAAGATATCAAAGCAAAGGAAAATTCAATTTCTGATGTCACTCATGTTCCGCCTGAATGGAAACAAGTAGTTTCTACTCTAGACAGGAGAAAGAAAAGTATAAAGAAGCATCTAAGTAACTGGTAGGTGGAAATATTTTGAAGCTGGTTTGTCGGTATATATTTTTAGTCACTAAAAATGATTTTTGTTTTGCTCTGTTTTTTATTTATCCAAAAAGTAATATTTTTTAATCATTGAGGAAAAGATTTTTTTTCCCTCCGAAATAAATTGCATAGAATGTGAATACAAAGATATTATCAAACTATATAAAGGTTCAGTACAGGTTATGTTTAGATTGTGCCCTTGGAGTTCCGGAAACATTGTTCGAGGCTTGTCCAGGACTCCAGAATACAGTGGTAGTCGTGGATTAGATTACTAGTCCTATCTCTTTTCTCCTTATTTAACATAAGCAAAATCTAAGATGCAATGACTATGCATTTATTTGGAGTTGACTTGTTATATCCTGACAGGCAATCACTAGATGCAGTTCATAATGATACTATAACATTCTTTACGTATCTGTGTAGGGGTGGTTCAATTCCACAGGTTCTAATTGAGAAGGCTGAAGAATATCTCCCTGACGACATCCGCTTTCTTATCAAGTTTGTTAAGGTAAGTTTTGTGGGTTTGTTGTTATATGTATCCACTATCCACTTTCAAACTTTGAGTGTAATGTTTTCTGATCAAATAATCAGGACGATGATGGTGATTCAGTCTATGTGGTACCTTCTTGGATACATTCAGATATAATGGATGATAACATTCTCATTGAGGGGACCACAGAACCAGGAACTTCCACTGATTGCATTGCCGTTGAAGATCTGAACAAAATGGATGCAATTCATATCATTGATTTCAGTGATCTGTCCATTGGTGAGCAGCCAGCTAACTTTGTTCACAATAACAAAGCTTGATTGCTCAGTTGTTTATATGCCTACTTTAAAAATAAAGTGATAGTGCATCACTAGTTGATTAAATTCAAGATAAAATAAATGTGATAGTGCATCACTAGTTGATTAAATTCAAGATAGGATAACCATGAAAGATTGTATGAATTATTGAATTGAGTTACCCTATCTCTGTTATTCACTGATTTCCTCGTGGAACAAGATCTACAATTGTGCAAATCTTGGTGAACTGGATGTGGAGGGTTTAGTTGTGATCTTTTGGTTTTGGGGATTTAGTTCAAAATTCAACACTCCGCCCACACAGATCCGAATAAGCCTTAAAATTTTAGCAAATTCTAATGAAGTCTGTGTTGATCTGTTATATTGATTTCTGTGTTGATCTGTTATATTGATTGTTATTTCATTTAACAGGGGATCCTCTATGTGACTTAATTCCACTGCACTTGGATGTATTCCGTGGTGATATTGATCTTCTCAGGCAGTTTTTACGAAGCTATCAGCTTCCTTTTCTGAGAGCAGAATCAAATAAAGATATATACAAGTCAATACAAAATTCTAAATTCAGCAGGGCATCGTATCGTGCGATGTATGTACCTCTCTCTCTCTGAAATAAGATAATCTCATTCTTCTTGTTTTATCCTTTTCCATTGCATCTTGAATTGGCAGTGTAGGTTACTGTTGGTTGATGGAAATTGTAACTGCTGGCAAAATCCGTCTTACTAGAGGCCTCTCAGAGTATCGACTTGGTGCTTTTCAAATTGCATGATATATATAACTACTAGTAGCTAACAAATAGATAATAATCCAGAGAAACAAACAGCTAGCAGCTTATTCTACGTCGGCTTATTATAATCCAGCTTATGGTAATCTAGTTCTATAATCTAGATTACAATAATCTTAAGCTGAAACAAACATGGCCCTAGTTAAGTAGCTAACTCGCATTTGCTAAAAAATTCATCCCTCATTCTTCTTCATGTGCATATAACTATAGCAGTGGCTCAAGCATAGATTTGGCTGAACTCACCCACTTCTCTGCAAGTTCTGTGTATCATTGCAGTAATCCATTTATAGCTGGTTTGTTGATGAACAAGGCACGAACACTTTGCAACCATTGCTGATTCTCTTGGTTTGTCACCTGACGGATGACGATGATACATTGAATTGTTGATCTCCTCTGTTTGCAGGTGCTACTGCATACTTCACGAGGACAACGTCCTGGGAGCCATATTTAGCCTGTGGAAGGATCTGGGCACCGCGACGTCATGGGAAGATGTTGAACACTTGGTTTGGGGAGAGCTGAATCAATACCAGCAGTCATGCAGCGTGGGCGAAATTAACTGACGCGATAGAGTTTTCCATACTAAGATAAAGGCACAAGAAATTTGATTTGTAACCTGAAACTGTACCACAAAGTATACCATCGAAACAGTGTATTATGTTACACTAACACATGCTTGATATGCAATAACAACGCATCGAAAGGACAACTTCGTTCAGATGCAACATATTGGAACAAACATATGTTACACCCTGTTATTTTACATTAATACAAACTTGATACTCCATCCACCTAGAAAAGCTAACTACTATCTATGAATCTAAGCACAGCATATGTTCAGATTTATAGTCAGGAGTTGGCATTTTTAGGAGACAGGGAATATGTAGTCAATGCATGAGAAGAACGACTTTGAAGCTCTCTGGCATTACTTCAGGTGCAACATACTGGAACAAACTTTGACCGGGGTTCACAATACTGATGCAGATAAAAACAGCACACAAACCATATCATCAGATTTCATGAAATTCATCGATTAAACGATAAAAGCCAAGTAAATGTAGTAAAAAAAATCAAAAACTAGTTTGAATTTTCAGCTGTTGTTTTCAACCGGTCCGAAAACTGAACTGATTTCCCCCGGGATTGGATCGTAAACGCTGGTCGTGACTCCTGACTGGTGACACCGTTTTGTTTCACATTGCATCGAAAGAACTCGACTTTGAAGCGCTCTGGCGTTACAGATTTCCCTCAGATGCAACATCATATTGGAACAAACAACATTTGCAATATAAAACCTACGACCGGTAGCCAAGTTTTATAAAAAAGGATCTTTCTACAAGTTGATTAGATATAATCCGAACAAGTCATGATATAGCTAATTTCAACTTCAAAAGTAAAGATATGACCAAATAAAGAACGTTGCCACACAGGATGAGAACTTGACGACAGTTCTTCAAAATTTGAGTTTCACAGAAAATAGCACTAGAAATGCATAACAGGGATATAAAACAGTCAAGGAGAGAGATATTACGAGACATCAAATGACACAAAAACCAAGAAAATAGTAGGCACAAGTTATATCATCAGAATACATAGCAACTGCAAGTGCTCAAAAATTGTGACAAAGCATCATCTTGTCCACAGAAAACTGCTCCAATTACCGAAGAAAAACTAGCAGCACCATGTCTATCCATCACAACGACAAACACTTCCTCATCTATAATGTTTTAAGGTCTTATAGGGGTCTTATGCGGTGGTGGCAGCAGAAAGCTTGGACCTCCTCTTTGCCAAGCTCTCACTCCTGCGTTCCCTCTGCTCCTTGAGCCTCTGGGCAAGCAGCTTCTGGTACTCGGCAGCCTCGGACTTCTTCTTGGCAATTCTTTGCTTCTTCTGGGCGATTCTCGCCCTCTTCCTCTGAAGAGTCAGGGGAGTGACAAGCCTCTGGATCTTAGGAGCCTTGCTAACCTTCTTGCCTGCAGGAAAAAAATAAATGGTTGGTAAATAGGTCAGCTCTACACTAACCATTAAATTGACTGCATATGCTAGGCTATGTCAAAAAATTACAGATTATATCTTAGCTTATTATCTTGATTAGGAGTGTGTTTTTTGTGTTGATTACACAAGCACCAGAGGCATACAATGCAGTCCACAACAAACATAATAGCAAAGCAACTCAAGGTTAATACCGAATGTTAGGAATGCTCACCGTTCTTGGTAGTGAAGGTTCTGCGGTAAGTGTTGACATACTTGCGGACATCATCATCCTTGGCAAGGTTAAACAGCTTCCTGATCTTAGATGCCCTCTTGGGTCCCCTCATCCTGGGCTTCTCAGTGTCAGTCAAGCCAGGAAGGTCATTATCACCCTTCTTTACAATCACCAAGTTGATAACAGAGAGATCTTGGCTGACAATGCAACCACGGACTGACTTCCTTCTGCGCTCACCATCACGCCTGCCATATCCACGGAAGCAGGGGGTACCTGTCAGTATAAAAATGGAACATTCACATTAGAACACCTGCCAGCAAAGCAAAATGAAACATAACCATTCAAATGTAAGCATCTTAAACATCTACCCCTGTGGAGGAGAAGGCGGACACGTCCAGAAGTAAGCACACCCTGCTTCATGGGGAAACCTTGCTTGTCACAGCCTCCCATGATCTTGAATACATAGCCCTTGAATTCCTGTACAAACAGACAAACTTAGTCATCCAACTCATTAAATAGCAAGACAGTTGAAGAATCATGGAGCAAATTGCCAAAGAAATTACTTCGCCAAGAGCATCACCACTGACTTCCTGGGAGATCCTCTTGTCATAAAATGCCCGGCTGCACAATTGATAGGAAAGCACTAATTACATACCATTACAACAGGAGAGCTTGAACAAATATATAACACACCAAACGGACAGATAACTATAACAGTTCTTCTTCCACATAACAACAATAACACCCACACTAACTGATACAGGATTACAAGATAAAACCTAAGCAAGAGAGAGCACTTTTTTCAGTATTACTATAAATGACCATAGATGTTTCAAACTACCTAAACACAGCTAAACCAAAATTACATTCTGATCTAGTGGAAAATTGATGCATTCTATGCTGCCAAAGATCCACCAAAACTAACATAACACTGATGAAACATGGCATTCCCTTCAAGATTTACTGACTATTATACAATGCTTCTACTTTACAGGACTGAACACTCGATTCAGAATTTGAATCAGAGCAAGAAGGCTCAAACACAATGACCCATTCCACACTATCCTTTCCCAAAAAACTTCCAAACATATTTCCCTCGAATATTTCCGAAATCTGATTTAGCACCTACCAATTCTTCATCTTCCAGTAAGAGACTAAAAATAATCTACGAGCCGCACAAACACATAGATCTAAACATCACAACGCGATCATAGACCAGTTCATATTGGGACTAAAGCCGGAGCCCAACTTGCCAACAATAGTAACAAATTACACAACGAAGGACCGAGCGGACAAGCTAGATTAACACGATGCAAGAGATCTCCACGCATTTCAGAACAGATCAGCATCAAGAGAGAGAGAGAAGGAGGAGCACTCACAGCTTCTGGTCGTCATCGATCTCGAGCTTCTTCTGGCACCCGGTGGTCGGGTTGGCGATGTTGAACTGCGCAAAACATCATCAGGGCGACCACAAAATCAGATCAAACCGCGCTACAAGAAACAACCAGCCGGACCGGATCGAGACGACCACGTCGCCCGCGGGGAGGGGAGGAGGAGAAATGGGTACCTTCATGGCGGCGGCGGCGGCGGCGCTAGGGCTAGGGTTCGCTCGGGGAGAGAGTGGGTGAGAAGGGGAGAAGCGGGCTTATATAGTGGACGCGTTGGGAGCTAGGGGTTTGTGAGGGAAGGCGAGGGTTGATCTCAGCCGTTGGAGGTTTTGATGGACCGTCGGATTGGATTTCCGGGTCTTGGGCTTTTGGGTCCGGCCGCGTGTGCGGTCGCTCGGTGATTTTCTAGGCAAACTTTGTATAAAAAATATAGAGATTTGGAATATTTCAATTCTATAGAAAAAATTGGTATGAAAGTTTTTTAAACAAATGATTGAATCCTATCATATCCTTTAAAATTCTTATAAAATGGGTAATTCTATATAGATTTTAGAGGAAAGTTAGTAAGAAGTCCAACCTCTTAACAGAATATGTTTGAGTCTATTTTTCTTATTCGGTTTTTGTTTTTTTTTCCTGCAATCAAATCGAATGGTTGTTTCTGTGTTTTTTTTCTTTTTAGTGCAATTCTCTGTTTTATACTTAGAATCATATCTTTTTTCTATTACTTTGTTTTCCCATTCGTTCGATGGGACCCTAGACTTTACGAAACCATACTTTTATACAAAGCAAATTGAAAACATAACTAAAAATGGTTTTGTGAACAAATTGAAATATTTGGTTTTGCATCACATAGGCAAAAATCTTTGGTCTATAAGGAAACTATGCCTTGGTTAAAAAAGAACTTGGCAAGATCCTACTGGGGCTTAAATCTTGATGCTCATAGTTTTTAACCATTGGTGTTTTTATTTCCTTATGATCGATCTAATCTTTGGAGATAGTACATGCCATTTTAAAGCATTAAGGGATTTCACAGTGACATGAGGTGTCGTTCAGCCTCAGCGTTCCACCTCAAAGATTCCACGCCACGTTGGTTTCTCCCGTTAGCAAGTGAGGAACGCGGAGCTAAAGTAGGAAACTCGTTCCTCAGCAAAAGAAAAGGTTGTCAGAGAACTCGTGGGGAAAATGATTCATGGTGGGGCCGGCCTAGAAAAAAAATGATGATGGGTCTACACAAAAGCTACGCGCACGGTGGGAATGGAAGCCTCGTCCGTGTTTTGCCTATGTGGAGGCTTTGGCTCCTTATCCCCGGGCGGACGCACTGCTACTGCCCTAAGTGGGAAAACACATACCCACGCTACTCCATGTGAGGCTATGTCTCTAATTAAATACAAATCAGTATAAGAGTATACTGGCTATGGATTAATATCACTTACAGTTAGACTAGGCACTACAAGATAAAAACTGCATGTGATCTTGGCCATCCATTTTTTATACGGAGGGTCCTGATTTAAAGCTACAGTAACGGAGCTACGTTGAACACTTAGTGCTTTATTTGGTAGGAAAGTGTTTTTGGATGATCTAATCGTTGGATTTACATCGAATGGTGCTAGTGTGACTGCTTAAGTTGTAGTCACGCTAGGGACTACAAGTGAACCAAATTCACTTGCTTTGTGTGGCCAACTTGTATACTTTTAAAGACAGTAACATATCCATATATAATCTCTAATATGTGGGATGGGCTAACCCCTTTTTTTAGAAAACACCCAGCCAACATTGGTTTTCATGTATAAATCTATAATAATTAGATAGATGACTGCACTTAAATACAAATAAGTAGTAATAATAATTAATCCAACATTGTTAAATTCATAGCTTCCTCACTAAAAAAGATCAGGGATGAGTTGCTCTATAGGATTTACTATTATTTTTTCAGAAACACGCAGTAATGAGGATAACAATGTGATCAGGTCCGAACCCTCGATGAACAATGCACGCCGGTTCATGCGCTTTGTGGCCAGGAAACTGGGAAAACCACGCTTGGAACTTGGAAGAGAAGAAGAGACCTAATTAACCTAGTTGGTGTCAGAGTATGATCGATCGACTCCGCATGATTAAGCTCGATCTCTCTTTAGATTAGCCGCCGCATGCACGTTGTACTAATCACACTCGCATCCCTCGCCGTACGTGCCCTAGATAGCGGGGGCGGCGCGTCGAGGCGCGTGGCATATATGGATCGCAAGAAGAGGAGGATGGCGGCGGCGGCGGCGCCGGCGAGATTCGACGGAATGTCGAGCAAGCAGCTGGTGAGGCTGTGGGAAGAGGTCATCGACCGCGACGTCGTGGCGGCGCGGGAGGTTTTCTTTCGGGCGCTCCTGCGGGACGCCGCGGCGGAGTACAACAAGCAGGAGGCGGCGGCGGCGGCGGCTCGCGGCGCCGCCGGGGAGGAGGAAGGCCAAGATCGAGGCTACCAGCGCGAGCGATTCTTGCTCAGGCCGTGTTCCACTTCCACGCCCCGGGAAGCCTCGCCGCCGCTGCCGCCGCCGCCGGAGCCGCCCATGGTGGTGCTGTGCCTCCGCGCGGCGCCGCCGCGGCCGCCGCCTCCGACGCCGCACCTGGCTGTAGGCGAGCAGAAGAGGGATGCGCTCTGCCGGCTGGACGCCACGGCCGAGCACAAGCAGGACGAGGTGGTGGCCCGCCCCGCCGCCGCAGCAGGGGCGGACGGCGGCGGCGCCGGCGAAGATCGAGGGCACCCGCCGCCGCGTGAGCGGCTCTCTTCCGCGCCCTGCCGGGAAGCCTCGCCGCTGTTGGAGCCCACGCCTACTGCTCCCATGGTGGTGCTGTGCCTGCGCGCGGCGACGGCGCCGCCGCTGCAAGCATCACGCCGGCGTGGTGCATCAGATCATGCTCGATAGCACGCAAGAACGATGGCCGGTGTGTCATCCGGGAGAAGAAAATAGCCATGTGTAGATTTGTTCTTTGTTCCCCCCTAATTTGTTTCTTCAGTTCTTTTTAGCACATGTTCATGCATGTTGTAAAAAGGAGTATACAATGGACATGTGACAAATGTGTTGTTTTCAATCTTTTGATTATATACTATCATTACAATATGATAAGAAATACGATGATTAGAATCACCTTGTAAAACTTGCTGCATGCTCCCTTAAAGCGGATCCTGCACGAGGGCTTCGGGATCTCAAACCCCACGAATCCCTCGCTAACCATTTTTTACCATACATTTTGCTATTTCTTTCTGAATCCACTTCCTTTGCTCCCACAAAGACTTTATTTTGGGCTTCCTCATTTATGCCACATATACTTTATTTCTAAAGCAATTAATATATTGGAGTTTGAGAAAATAAATGATAAATATATAGGAGTTTGAAAAGTAGAGGTTTTGAGTTTGAAAAGGTAGAGTAGTTTTAATCTTTCGGCTTTGTATTGATATGTGTGAATTTTTTTTATGTACGAGTATGTGTGAGATTGGAAAGAAAAACAGTTTTTCTATATGGAGGTAGTAGAGTAGTAGTATATATAAGCACATTCCTATTTAGACAGTAAACATTCCTATTTAGACAGTAAACATGTATTAACTCTATCTTAAAATATAACTATTTTTAACTATTAGTCTGAATTCTCTTAAAATATAACAACTTTTAAATATAAATCCGAATTCCATCTCAAAATATAATAGCTTTGAACTATAAATCTGAATAAACACTTGTCGATTCATAAGTTCATATTTTTTTTGACTGGAGAATATTCATATCTTGAGAGGAAAGAAGTATTTAATACCATATATGCGATATATTATCCGATAACACATGAACCCCAAAGTATTGTATTATTACTTACACATATAAGTGCATTCCCTATATGTAAATGTGCACTCGATATATGTCCATACTCTGCGGTGCAAAGATGATAGTAAAACAGAATCTGCTCCAAGCTGGTTGTCAATTGCGAGAGACGATAGTAATTTGCATAAAGAAGAAATGATCAGACAACTAAAATTCAGAATCAGCAGCACAAAAGCACTCTGCCAAGAATATAACTAAGTATGCAATTAAATTCATCTTATTTATCCACAGCGATGGCAATCTCTTGGTCACAAAGCATATGTGATCCCAGAAGTAAAAACGAGGCATGAATGACAGCAACACATCAGCCACAAAGAAAGCTCGCTGCCCCGCTACTTCAGTCTTCAACCAGCTGATGATCGATCGATCGAATTTGGCATCTATCGATCACAAGGCGCACACGAAGTCCCCGCTGTTCTCGATGTCAATGTCGTCGATATCGTCGATGTCGTCGAGATCCATGCTCCCCAGGCAGGCGACCTGCCCGGCGCCGGCGAGCTTCATGGCGTCGCCCGGTTTCCGGGCCTCCTGAATGATCGCCATGACCTCCTCCAGGCTCTGCGACGGCGTGTTCATGTCCGCCAGCTGCATGCTCCTCTGGTACTCGTCGGTCATCTCGATGGGCAGGTTCTTCAGGAACCATGGGTGGTTCTTGATCTCTGGGATAGTTATCCTCTACAAAGAGAAATGCATGCAATTTACGAATGTTTGTCGGTTGACACCATGTTGGAAAGCCAATGCAGATTGATCACTAAGCTACTAGGTGAAATGGTGAATTATTTCATGACGAGGAGTCACCTGCTCAGGATTTCCAACGAAAATCCGGGACAGGAGATGTCTGCAGTCCGCTGAAACTCGAACGTAGTCTGGAATTGAATACTGTACACTGAGTATCCTCTGCAAAAGAGGTCAATAGGCTACATGATCAGACTGACTAGAATTGAGACAGATTTTGAATTAACAGGAGTGGGGGCTATGGGCAATGGCCGGATTTACTCACAGTGATCGTCTTGCGGAAGTTCCTTGGGTCATCAGGGTCCTCAAAAGGATACGCACCAACAAGCATCACATAGAGTGTTACCCCACATGACCAAACATCAGCTACCTAAGATTCGAAGTAATTATGTTTCAACAGTCCAGTCATGGAAATTAAGACTATTTGGTAGGATCATAGAGAGACTCATCCCAAATCATGCGAACAAAATTACCTTTCCATCGTATTCCTTTCTAGAGAGGACCTCTGGAGCAATGTAAGCCGGTGTGCCAACAGTTGATTTCGGTTGAGAGTGCAGGACAGAAGACTGAAAATTAAAAAAGAAAGGCCCAAAGGGAGGGGTGGCCAGGTGGGTACTAATTTTAGGCAACAGAAAACATGAATGTCAGAGGATAGTATCTGCATAAATCATACCTTGGAGTAACCAAAATCACAAATCTTAAGCCGAGGTGTGACACTGCCATCCAAGAGAGTATTTTCGAGTTTCAAATCTCTATGGCATACTTGCTGCAAGCAGAAAAAGATAAGGACAAATGTGGGCAATAGTCTACAAAAGAGTTGATATTTTTAAGTCAACTAGACATCATGTACCATAGAATGACAATAGCTCACTCCAGAAATCAGCTGTTGGAAGAAGAACCTTGCCTGATGAGGATAATGAATAATTTGTCAATGCAATGACATAAATCTGCATAAGAGTCCCAAAGATTGTGGAGAATATTCTCTACCTCATCCTCACTGAATCTCCCTGCGTTGCAAATCCTTTCAAATAGCTCACCACCAGCAGCATATTCCATAACTATTGCCAAATGTGTGGGAGTTAGCACGACCTGAAAACTAAGGACTACTTTAATTTTTCAACTCTCAATACAAGTTTGAATGTTAAACCTCGTCAAACAGTCAAATACATGTGTTCAGCGATGAATGCAGAGAAAGAACTGCGGAAAGTGCTCGCAATATTCACAAGGATAGCTTTATTCTAAAAACCCTGTTCAACAGATCTTGGAAGAAAAAATGACGAAAGAACCTAAAATAGCCCTGAAAATTTTAGCACCTAATTTAAGACTTTCTAGGTCTGTTTTGGGCCTTGGGCCAACTTGTTGTATTCAACTCTCTTCTCTAATGGAATGCCATGCAAAGCTTTTGCGTGCTCCCCACAAAAGAATTTTTTATAACAACATCGATACAGTAAAAGGCAGCATAAAAGGACACATACGCATTGTCAATCTAAATAAGAATCAACTTCCCTGAGTTACACAGAACACAGACAGTAGTAAGACAGAGTTAACCTGAAAAACATGACTCAACAATTAATGCCAGACACTAGTACATTTAGTTCCCTGAAAATAGCAGATTAGCAACTTTTGCTTTCATGCACTTCTCCTTTTCTTTTGTAAATAACTTGTTTTTATAATAATAACTCCTAATTTTTGTTATTTTAGAAATAACTACTATTTTCATTTGTGCAGAGTGTAAAAAAACTGCCCTGATTTTTTTTCCTTCAAAAAGGAATCTATGCAATTAGGCAATTAGCCTACTAGTCTGCCCGTGGAAAAAACAAAGTACAAGGTTCATGCAAATCATACACACTAAAGTGAGCAGCATATTCGAAGTTAAAGAGAACTCAAAACAGAAAAAGAACAAAACAGGGGTGAAAACAGTGACATTCAAGCGATAAAAGTCACCATCAAAAGAGTCCTCCTAAATGTGCAACTAAACTTTCACGTTACATATTCCATCTGTCCTCCTATAAACATAGAGGCGTGGAAGAATACAGATAACTATCGCTTTCTATCAGTAGAAAAAAAAATTCCCGAAAAGAGCAGAAACAATCATAACACTCAATTCAACTAGAGATTATATTACACATTACTTCCCTAGAGGCCCAAGAGATTACCTCCTTGAACCGGATTATGTTTGGATGCTTCAGTGATCGGTGGTTCATAATCTCCCTTTGAACATGTTCATCAATCTACACAACGATAAAAAAAAAAGTGGAGTTAACCAATGAACCAAAGACGCTCAATGATGGATACCAAAGGCCCTTATTAGAGTACCATTTTTTTTACAGAGAGATTAATATTACAAAAAAAACAGCTCGAACAGAACAAAAAATACAACAAAAATATCATCAGCCCGAAATAGTAATGGACAGCACCTCGACAGTAAACGAGGAAGAAGAACAAGAAACGGACAGCATAGCACACAGTAACAGTAGAGCAATTAATGAACTAATAAATGACGAGTGACATGTATGAAAGGCTAGCGAAAACGCTAGAAACATCCACCAAATGCCAAAGTGAGCTTAGAAAAGGCCATCAAAAGCAGCTACAAATTTGAATATAAAAGACAGCAAGCTACATAAGTAATAAAATTGATTGAAACTTATGTCATCATAGCCAGTGCTTCACGCCAAAAAAATAAAAATAAAAAATCACTATGCGTAGAACAGTTTGGCTCTGCTAGCTTCCTTGAGGCAAATGTCACCGATAAGAGTTCGTCAGGTGTTAGAGAGTCAGGGACCAAATATAGTCAAAGGGATTGACCAATTTTCTTGGGTTCCTTTTGGCCTAACAAAAGGTACCAGCATTTTGGGATATATTCCTTCTCTAGAAGCAAATTAGTTACAACTAAAAGTAATCTAGAAAGAAATGCGCAAGCTTCAACCAATCAACTGCACTAAAAAGATGGGGGAACAAATGTAAAATCCTACTGCAAAACTAACGCTAACCGATTCTCCCGGATGCTGAAAATTCGGCTATTTTTGCAGGACTCCAAATGTGAAGGAAACATTTCAAGCAGCGTTGCTCTAGCAATTCAGACAAGCCCCGGCCGAACGGAGCAAACATCTCACAGCCAGCACAGATCGCACAGTCGATGTGCATACCATAACAAAAAGAAAGAAAGAAAGAAAGAAAAAAGTTTGGAGGGTGAAGCTTTCATTTTACCTTGAGTCCCCTCTCGATGAACTTGACGGCGAAGAGGTGGTTGGTGGCGACGTCGCGGACGAGCTTGGCCACCCCGAAGTTCCCGGACCCGATGTCCCTCATCACCTCGTACCGCTCCATATCCCCTCAACGACCTCGCTCCGCTGGTCCGCCCCCTCCGTTAATCTCTTGGCCGCTCGTGGCAACTCGCTCACACGCAGCCAGCTCGATCGATCTCTCGCCCGCCAAGAAGAAGGAGCTGGATGGGACGGGAGGCGGTGCACGAGGGAGGGGAGGGATTCTGGGGCGCTCGTGATGGGGATTGGGATGAGCGAGAGGTGGTGGTGGTGATCGAGCAGGGGAGGTTGGGAGGAGGGAGACGTTTCCTTTGTATAGGCGGCGGCAGGCGAGCGAGTCCCGACCATGTGTCGCCGTGGGTGCCGTACGAGAGGTCGCCGTCGACCTCATCGTCGATTTATTATTAAATTATGCATAGTACTACCGTGGAGACGGGAAACGCGCCGCAAGGGGATGACACGTCGTCCGTACTACGTACCACCGCTGAAATTATGTTACGGAGTATCATAATACTTAGGCTATTAAGGGTGTAAAGTTTTGGTGTGTTATATCGAATATACGGATACACATTTGATGTATCAAACGTAGCTTAATAACAGACTAAATTATAGAATGTTTAATACATCAAATGTGTATTAAACCTAACCAGGCCTAAGGGTCTGTTTAGATCCCTAACAAAATTTTACACTGTCATATCGAATGTTTGGACACATGCATGGAGCATTAAATATAAACAAAAAAATTAATTATTGCGTGTAAATTGTGAGACGAATCTTTTAAGCCTAATTGCGCCATGATTTGACAATGTGGTGCTACCGTAAACATTTGCTAATGATAGATTAATTAGCCTTAATTAATTCGTCTCACAATTTACACGCAATCTGTATAATTAGTTAACTTTTTCGTTTATATTTAATGCTCCATACATGTGTCCAAACATTCGATTTGACAGTGTAAAATTTTGTTAGGGGATCTAAACAGACCCTTAGGCTTTGTTAGGTTTGGAGGGGATTGAGGGGGAATAATTCCACACCACAATAGGTGTGGAATAAATCCCCTTCAATCCATCCCTCATGGGGATTAACCAAACAAGGCCTTATGGGGTGTTTAGATCCGGGGTGCAAAGTTTTAACTATCGGATGTCGTATGGGGTGCTTGGGTGTTAATAAAAAAACTAACTACATAATCTGTCAGTAAAGCATGAGACGAATTTATTAAGCCTAATTAATCTGTCATTAATAAAATATTTATTGTAGTAACACACTGTCAAATCATGAAGCAATTAGGCTTAAAAGATTCGTCTCGTAAATTAGTCGCAATATGTATAATTAGCTATTTTTTAGCCTATGTTTAATACTTCATACAAGTATTTAAACGTTTGATGTGACATGGTATAAAGTTTTGGGATGGGATCTAAACATGGCCTTAGTTGTCCAGAATACACCTATTTAGATTTGTAATAATATGATATATCATATCTCATATTAGATTAATTTATTTTAGGATGAAGGTAATACCTCAATCCTTAATTAAATTGCTCCATGAGTCTTAAAAGAAAACTCAGAGATGTGGCACATCCTACTATAACGAATCTGGATAAAGGATTATCTAAATTCTTTATACTAGTAGAGATCATAGAGATTATAGGTTAAGTTTTTTTACGAATGAAGTAATTATACTCCCTTTGTTTCAAAATTTAAGATATTTTAATGGGAGCAAAATCCCTTATATTTTTTATACGGACAAAGTATTTTTATGGGTTGATTGGTATATAATAAGGTTTGTCGTAAAATACTTTTATGACCTTTTCAAAATAATTTATGGTTAAGAATAGAAGGGTAATTGAGACCGGAGTAAGAGAAAATTGAAATGAGATATAACTGACGAGATAAGTAGTATTTTAAAACGATAAATTTATAAATTTATGAGACAAAATTTAAACGATAAAAATAATTAATTTAGAACGGAGGAAATACTACTCGGACTCGCCCTCTTGGAAATGGCATCACTATTAAACCTTTAATTTTGATCATACTCCAATACATTTCCGTCGACATTGAAGTCAATTTAGCTTTTCTCCAAGCGAAACTAAACCATATAAAACTGAATGAAATTCGTGGGTATTTTTAAGTAATGAACCTCCATTGTTTACTTGTAGCCATTGTGATTTCCATCCAATTATCGCATTCATGAAGACTGAAATTGGGACAGAATTTAAAAGCTCCAAAAAAAAGCCGATTGTTTTCAATTACATAAAAGGCTCATAAACATAATTATTAGGGATGGCAACAGGTCGGATCGGGCACAGGCGGAGCAATACCATGCACGTCAATACCCACCCGAATCATGTCGGATAGCAGCAGCGGGCAAAACTTTATGCTCGTACCCATGCCCATATGGGTACAGGCATGCCCGGTGGATACCCAGAGGGCACCCGACGCCACTGCTCTGGGATCTGTCGTTGCCTTGAGAGCCACCGCCGTCGCTTGCTCATGTCGCCGCCGCTAGTTGCGCCACTGCCACCTTGAAGCAAGCACTGAGGAGGGATAGAAACAACCCTAGGGTTGTATGTTGTTGGTTATATATATATATATATATATATATATATATATATGTCCCTGGTTAATGGGTTAAATAGACCAAGAGAAAGGGGTATGAGGATGAAGAGATGGGCCAAAATCAATAATACATACATCGGGTTAGGTATGGGTTATCTACGGGTAAAAATAAGACCCGATTACTGCCTACTATATTATCGGGTATTAGGTGGGCTGCACACGGATAAAATATTACACCCATGTCCGTGTTCATAAGGTCGGGTATTCGCGGATACCCATCCATGTGAGCAAAATTGGCATCTCTAATAATTATATTACGCACACATAGCCACAAGCGCACCATCTTAACACTATAATAAAGCATGCAAGGCCAATCGTAAAAATTCCTAACATCAAAAATTGAATATATCTGCATGTGTGTAATAGAGTGAACACCAAACTTTGAATTCTAGTGATAAAATCATGTATCCTATACCCCGAGGCCCGAGCGCACGATCTTTGACGTAATGAAAGCTCACCTAAATTCCCTCGTTAGAAAACTATATATCATTGGACAAGATGGAGACACATCTCGAGATCTTGGAATAGCAGAAAATAATAATAATATTGGAACATGTACGAGTGCGAACTACTACATCCGTCCAAAATAAGTGCAGCCATAAATATCTGTGTCTAACATTTATCCATTCGTCTTATTTAAAAAAAATAAAAATAGTCATACATAAAGTATTATTTATGTTTTATCATCTAGTAATAATAAAAGTACAAACCATAAAAGAATTTTAAATAAGACGAACGGTCAAAAGTTCAACACAAACAATATAAAATTATACTTATTTTGAAAATTGTACTTATTTTGGGGACGGAGGGAGTACATGTCATCGCTCCAGGCCACATGAGGACGGAGGGAGTACATGTCATCACTCCAGGCCACATGATAAGCAAAAGAGGACTTTATGAGGTTTTGACATATATTCTTCTTATACCAAACAAATTAATGCCACTTATAAAGGATGACCCGTAGTCCCGTACATATTTATATCACTAAAAATAATGAGAGATCTTTGCAGCCACACAGAACATGAAACACAGTGTCAGCTCCTCATTGGTTACCCATATTTCTTAATAAGTCAAAACAATTTATTAGGAATGAAAAGTAATTTATAGGTAAAGTTTTTATATATTTTTTTAACGATTTGAAAATCAATATAAAAAATCTACGTTGATCAAACTTCATATTTTGTATTTAGCTTTGATTTATTAGAACAAGCCCTCAACCTCCTCGCTGTATAATGGAAGGGGAAAGATTTGTAGCGGTTCACAGGTACGTACGTGTTCATCCAAGAAAAGAAAGAAAAAAAAAAGCTATACGAACTGCTGTCCTTGCCCTGCCCTGCATGCGCGACACAGGTGCGTACACTGTTCTGAAGTTGCTGGAAGCCTGGAAGCGTGTATACAGTTCATGCCCGCCCGGTATGAGATGCACTGTTCATGCCCGCCCGGTCGGTCGGTCGCTTTCGCCGACTCGATGGTGTCGCGCACGCCGCACGCGTAGCAAGCAAGCTTAGCGTGTGTCTACTTCTAGCTAGCTGGGTGCGTGTTCGTTACCGTATGAGGGGTTTAATTTGGAACGTGCACGCGAAACTGTGCCGGTATCGCCCAAGCAAAAGAGCATGTACTCCCTCCGTGCCCTTTCTATGAAAAATTAAACTAGATAGCTTTTAACTAATAATCATACTATCTACTGTATATCCTATTTATACTAAGTATTATTCATGTTATATTACTATATTCATATTTTAAAATACTTCATGTGATGCTAATTTTATATTTGTTGGGATCGTAAAATGGAATAAAATACTAGTCAAACTATATTATTAAATACCATGTAAAAAATATAGGATTTATAATTTGAGAAAGAGGTAGTATTATATGAATGGTGATGCGGTGATGGCAGGGGAAAGACCGAAAGAGAGTGCCACCACCACCGTCACCCGATGAGGAGGAAAGGAAGGGAGAGAAGAGGGGAAAGAGAGGGATGGTGATCGTCGTCCAAACCGTTTTTGCAGGGGCAGAGAGGGGGTGCTTAGGAACCTAGTCAAGAAAAATATTTTATCTATAGTTTATTCATTTCACTATATGTACATCTACCTCAATTCAAACTCAGGCACTAATATTAGTCTAAACTTGGTCTAAAATAGAGTAAAGCAAGCAAGTGGCACATCTCTCTATTTTGTTTCAACTCTGTCCTTAGCGTTTTGTGATCTAATTTGCACTGGTTTTAGAAGTAGAGATGAGTCATATCAGATATTTCTAAGCCAGAATCGGGTTAGGCGGTTAGCCATATGCTAGCGAATACAGCCTAGTCTGAAAATGTTTCTGATTTTTGGTTGGAAGAGAATTGTAATTTCATATCACAATTAGTCTGTGATGACACTTTGATTGAGTAATATATTTCTACCCTTCCCCGCAAAAAAATTACGATTCAGTGATGGAATTCAGACTCGGTGATAAATTTAGAAATTTATTCCTAGAAAGGGAGAGAGAGAGGAGGAGGAAGGGAGAGGAGAGGAAAGAGATGATGATGGTGTGGTCAGACGTATGGGGCTCACGTGGATCCCACGTTGAGTCAGTTGCCACATCGGATAAAACCGGAGTCAAAACCGCCGAGGGATCTAGTTTGCACTGGTTTTGTAAATTGGGGATGTGTTGTATCCGGTTTTATGGTTGGGGGGCGATTTTGTAACTCGATGACAAGTCAAGGGACCTACTCCCTCCGTCCCAAAAAAAGACAAGCCCTGGTTTCCGTGCCCAACGTTTGACTGTCTGTCTTATTTGAAAAAAAATAAAAAGACAATTCACGTATAAAATATTAATCATGTTTTATCATCTAACAACAATAAAAATATAAATTATAAAAAAATTTCATATAAGATAGACAGTCAAAGTTGGACACGAAAATCCATAATTTAGAGTACGGTGTATTTTTTCCGAAACAATATACCCACACAGCGACACGCGCTAGCCATTTCTTCGGCCCAACTAAAATTTCCGGGCCCATTTGCTCCTCCCGAGTTTTGCAGCCCAGGCCTACCAACCGATCAATCCCCCTCTCGCAGTCTCCACCTAACTCTACTACTACTACTACTACTACTCTTTTATTATCGCCTCCCTGCTCGCCCTCCTCCCACTCTCTCGCCGCCGCCGCCACTTCTAGAAGCTTCCATCGCCACCACCGCAGCGCCCCGCGCCGCCATGGCCGCCGAAGCCAAGGCCCCGTCGCTCGCCGAGGTAAGCGGAATCCCCTCCACCCCTTCCATCCCCCTCTTCTCGTGCGTAACCCCTGGCGCGCGCGCGCGCGCGCGATGTGTTCTCCTTTCCTTTCCTTTCACTGTTCGGTGATTCGGTAGATCTAAGGCGCCGCTGTCGCCTCCCAGATCTGCGCGTCTCCCCGTCTCCTCTACCGAGATAGGGTGGTTGGTTGGCTCGGTGATTAGGTTTCGCTTTGTTCGTCCTGGCACTGGAAGGCCTTTGAGGTAGGTAGGATTAGGAGGGTTTCTGGATGGGTTTGGAATTTTGGGGTTTGGGTTGCTCCTGATGGTGATTAATTTCGTGCTGGGTGGTGATTGGGCTCGAAATTTGCATCTAGGTGCTGTATCTTCAGGGTTGGAGGGGATTGGCCCCTGCGCGTGTGGAGGTTTGAGTAATGTGGTAGGTTCCAGGATGAAAACCTGAATGTGTGATGGGAATTGAAGGATTCGTTGTAGTAAAAAAGTAAGTAGTTTGTGGTAGGATTTTTACAACACCTGAAAAGTATACTCTCCCCGTTTCTAATTATTTGACACTGTGTACTGCATTGTCACAATATTAACCACTACTTTTTTATCAATAGATTTTTAAATACTTAAACCAATATGATGCTATTAAAACACGTTGAATCATAGATGTAACCATATTATTTTCATTTAACATAACTGAACAATACACAAGTGATCCAAGTATTCTGAGCTTGAATAGTGCAGTCAACGGTGTCAAGTATTTAGGAACGCAGGGAGCAGGAACTTTTCTAGAGATTAGATATTTTAGGTGAGGTTTCTATGTGTCAAGTTCCAAACATGTTTCCTTGTAGGACTAGGATATTGCTGCATGGAAAATGACTATTGGTCTAATCTATTAAAAAAAAGACCAACGTTGGATATTTTCTGTGTTGTAAGAACCTAGTCTTGCATGGAAATATGTAAATATCTAGAAACTTTTTCGAAAACATCTATTTTTCAGAATGGATTTCTAACTTCTTCTTACTGACAGTAATCTACCATAGTTAAGTTCCTAATAATACCAAATTGTTCCAAAAAGTATGCTTTAATACTTCTCAACAAGATATTTTTTGATACAATCTACGTAGTTTGATATCTGTGCTGTTTTTCTAGTTGAAAATGCAAAATAAAAGGAGAAAAGTCTGACAATGTTGCATGAAGAACTAACCCATTGCCATTGGCTTAGAAAAAGTGGGGAGGTTATTTGTTTGTATCAACGAATTCTGGGTCATTGGTTTGAGTGTGAATTGCTATGTTTTAACGATAGGAATTTCTCAATATGAAGGAAACATAGGTGTGTACCAAGTAACATTTTAGGACAGTTAGGTGTTTAGCATAGCTTATGTTATAAAAGATGGGACTTAATTCTTGTTAAGAGTGTAAGTATAATAGTGTGTTCTAGGGTATTTTGGTATTTTCCTGTCTCTTGTACAATATATATTTCTGTGCTAAATATATTTTGTACAAGAGATGGGAAAGGACCATAATACCCCTAAAGCACACTCTAGTATACTTAGTACTCTTAACAACTCTAAGGCAATAAGGTTTTCAAAGCAAGAAAACCTCCCAATAGCTATTCCTGCGATTTTTCTTGAATCAGCATATATGCTTGTTGGTGTTCAAATGAAGTGGTCACTTTTCTATTTCATTATCTGATTACTATGTGATATTTTGGTCCAACAGTTTAGAAGGACAGTTAGGTGTTTATCACATGTCATGTCATAGAAGTTGTGACCTAATTCTTGTTAAGAGTACAAGTGTCGTAGTGTGTTTTAGGGTATTAATGTATTATGGTCTTTTCTCCTCTCTCTCGTATAAAATATATTTTGTACGAGAGATGGGAAAAGACAACAATACCCCTAAAAAACACTACTCCCTCCGTCCCATAATATAAGGGATTTTGAGTTTTTGCTTGCACTGTTTGACCATTCGTCTTATTCAAAAAATTTCAGAATTATTATTTATTTTCTTTGTGACTTACTTTATTATCTAAAATACTTTAAGCACAACTTTCCGTTTTTTATATTTGCAAAAAAAAATTGAATAAGACGAGTGGTCAAACATTGCAAGCAAAAACTCAAAATCCCTTATATTATGGGACGTAGGGAGTATTATACTTGTACAGTTGTACTCTGAACAATTCAATAAGGTTTTCAAACTAAGAAAACCTCCCAATAGCCGTACCCGCGATCTTTCTTGAATAAGTAATATATGCTTGTTGGTGTTCAAATGAAGTGGTCACTTCTCCATTTCATTATCTGATTACTATTTAATATATTAGTCCCTATGCTATTGATCTTTGGCAATCTAGAAAGAATGATTTTTGGACTTGACTTTCATTCGCAGGAATACTCACTTCCTCCACAGGAAGCCCCAGTTGAAAAGGCAGTTGAGGATAAGCCCCAGGAGGCTGAAAGTATCTCTGTAACGAATGATGAAACCCCTCAAGCTGATGAGACTGCAACAGCTGTGGAAGTGAACCCTGAAACTTCTGAAGTGCAAGAAGTTGCTGACAAGTCAGAAGTTGAAGACACCAACCCTGCAGCAGAGGAAACGAATGAGACTGCTGAGGAAGAGGCTGAGGAGAAACCAGAGATTAAGGTTTCCTACTGCAAAAGAAAATGATAGGATATTTGTTATAATGATTATTATACTAAGCATGTTTTAATATACAGATCGAAACGGCTCCAGCAGATTTCCGTTTCCCAACAACAAATCAAACAAGGCACTGTTTCACACGCTATGTTGAGTATCACAGGTACAACTATGCTCTTTCAGGGAATTGAGTTTATTAGTTGGTTTACTGTTATGAAAGAAATCCATTGGTTTAGTTGTGTTGATGACTTGATTATCAAAAGATGTGCTTATTTATCAGGTGCGTAGCTGCGAAAGGGGAGGATGCTCCTGAGTGTGATAAGTTTGCAAAATACTATCGATCTCTTTGCCCAGGCGAATGGGTATGTATCTCCTGTTTTTTGAACATTGCTTTCAGCACTTTTAAACTCTTCTTCCTTCTGTCCCTGTAAGTAAAATAGGTACTCATGTGACTTGTGGAGATTCTTTGGTCCTCATCACAATTTTTGTATCTACTCCAGTTTCACCATAACAGCCTAGAGTGATACTGTTGCCATAACTACTTTAATGTTAGAGTTGGTGAAGTTGATGATTGGTTCCAAACCAAATCCTCACACCTCTTCTTTCATAAAAAAAGAAGCGGCAACATGTGGGCCCTTCATCCCTCCATCGGCCTGTGATTCCCCATTTAGCCAACTTTCCTTATACAAATCTCATGTATTGTCAGAAAATTTATTCGGTATTCTCCATTATAAGAAAACCAACTTCTGAATTCCCATTGCAATGCATGTGCACATAGTTCTTAAAATGATTATTTAGATATACACGACACTGCTTGAATAACTTTTTAAAATATTATTTAAAAATTTGTGGTGTCCCAGTTAATCTGCCTTTGTATTGGTTTAGCTATTAACCCACGATTTATTAAGGATCAGTGAATTTTGGTCACCTCATAATATTGGTTTGTTAAGTTTGTTAGTTGGATATGTTAATTATCTCCCGAGATTTGTTATGGCTACCTATGGCTGTTCATGTCATGGCCAGTTTTGCCCTACACGGTTACATGACTGAATGGCGATAGTAGATTCTGATTTTAAGTGCTAAATTGTTACCTTCGGCAAATGGCAAAGGCAATTGATGACTCAGTACATCTATATTCAAGAAATATCTGAGCTACACACTTAGTTGCTTCTGATAATTTCTTGAGATAATGCTATATCCTTCTTTCAACTTTGAAGCGATTGCTCTTATTGTCTTGTGTTTAGCACAACTGCATTTACGTGTGAATCTATATGTATGGTTTCTTTGTGAATGATATGTTTCAGCCTAATTACTCCACATTGGCTTTATTGGTACATACTAGCTTGTGCAACTTGGTCTATGCATGTGCTTAAAATATAAGCAAATCGATACAAGTTTTCTACTTGCACACATGCAAACCATAATTGGATCCACAATTACTTGGCTGATATGGGTACCCTTTAATCAAGATCATAGCACTATCATTTAATCAGAACTTCAATGATTTGATCCTGTACACCTTAACACCATTAACGTGTTTGATTTTCAGGTTGAGCGTTGGAATGAGCAACGGGAAAACGGCACCTTCCCTGGACCTCTGTAAGCATGTGCAAAGGGGAGAACATACGTTGTTGTCCGGGCTCTCTTCGTTGGTAACTGGCGTCATGTTATCAGAATCGGAGGGATCGTCCTTTTTTTTGGAGAGATTTACAAATAAGAGATTTCTTTTTTTATTTGAAGAATGACATCTGTTGACTCTACCTAAACGATCATCCTCTGCACTGCTGAGAAACTCACATTACAGCTATGATCTTCCTCCCTTGACTGATCTTCCATAACTGTTTTCTCAGGATAATGTGGTTGCTCGCTTGGGAAAATGTGTTGACATAAATCTTAAGTTCTTTACTTTCTCTGTTTATGTATTGTCGTCTACGCTATGGAGTTAGCGGTGCACGGCAATTAGACGCGAGTGACTTTGCACTCTACATGAGTATGACCATTGTTCAGCCAACTTGGCAGTGTTGGTAGTGCGTGTGGTTGCACCTACCAGTTGCTAAGCAGCAGGTTGATCAGGTCATCTGAAATTTGGATGACCTACTTTGAGTGCCAAAGCACCCCCGTTTGCTCTTCAGATTAGCTATATGCGAAACGGTGGGGATTAATCAGCAGGACTACTCTGAAGCAGTAGAAGTTTGTGCGTTTGTTAAAACCCTACGCTCCAGTCCAACCAAGCCAAAGGACTAATTCGGTTTAAACAACTCTCTTTGCCGACTGACAGATCAGGTAAGATGGCTGATCGGATACACGGGATAGTCTCCAATCTCATGAAAATGTAGAGAATGGTTTTGAAAATTTTCGAGACGTTAGGTTTTACAATACTACTCCCTCCATCCCCCCTAAAATGTAATGTAAGGATTTTGGACATATGAAACACTTACTACTACAATAAATCTGAACTATTAGGAAACGTCTATTCTGTAGTATTAATTTGTACTAGCATTTATGATGGAGGCTGAACGCTAGCGTTAAGAATTCTTTGAAAAAAGAATATAAAATATGAGTTTTTTGGAGTAAAATTTTCTTCCTATACGAAATATACATGCTTTAATCCTCACTAGGTTGTAAAGAATATAAAGCCATGGTTTTCAGATCTCCCATTTGCTATATTTTCCCGTGTTCAGTATAGTATATTTTCCCATGTTCGCTATATTTTTATAGCGTTCTATTTTAAACATGCAAATACGTGTTGTTAATACTCGTGAGGCTGCGTTATGGAGAGATTTTGGATGAATTTTCCGATGGCACTTAAAATGAGACAAAGTCATTAGTGTATGATTAATTGAATATTAATTATTACAACTTAAAAATATATTTATTTAGGTATTCATCAGTTGTCCATATTTTTAATAAGCCAAAACGGTTAAAAAATAAAAATTAATTTATAGGTACAACTTTTATATATGTCTCCGTGATTTAAAAGATAATATTGAAAAAGAAAAATCAACTTTAAAAATTAAGTTTAAAAATTTAAATTTTGGTTTTGGCTTTGCATTTGACTTATTAGGGTAACCGATGATGCTATTAGTTTTTTTTAAAACAACTTATAAAACACATCTTTAGCGGTTCAGGTAGCTTTGCTAACATAAAATAAGAGAGTTGCTCCCTCCAACCGAAGAATCGAACGCATGCTAAGTATTGTTAGAACTAAAAGAACAATATTATTTATTGGAAGGAATAAAAAAACATCACTAGCATTTATTCTAAAGAAATCCTTACTGCTAGTAATATTGTCTTTTATAAATTCGAAAAAAATTGAAAAAACTTTAATTTCAGATAAAACTAAAACACCTCGTAGGGGTATATATTAGTAGCACTGGCATGTTTTTCCCTTTTTAATTTGAAAAGCCATTGATACTAGTATAGGAGTACGAGATCTTCCCATCATCCCTAAAGTGTTTTTTTTTTAATTCGATTCATGTCACTACAAATATATTATTTCAGATAAATATTATTACAATTCATTCATTGTAGCTGTGTTACTAAATTTTTACAAATTTTAAACCATGCCACGACCGTCATGTTTTCCACACTTCTTCCTCATGTGCACACGGACCCCATTGGTGCATCATGTCCTTTGTCGTTGCACCAGAGCCAAACACGAAGAAGGAGCACATAGCGTAGCTGAGTGGGGATGGGAACATGTAACCCTTGCCGCAGGTGGAGATGAAGTAGTGGTTGCTACAGAGGAGGAGCTCGAGCTCCACCGCGAAGAGTGGTGATATCTTGTTGTGCACCGTGCGGCATGACCTCACATAGTACAAGGAGTTCGGCGACAGAGAGAGCGGCACTGCAAGCAAACAAGCTTACAGGTGGAAGCTTGTCGCTGGGGATGTGTTCCAAGCATAGCCACCCAACGCTCCTCCGTGTGATGGTTGGCGATGGGGGTAGGCCCCATTGGTGTCCTGGCCACCCCCCACCACCTCCAACCCTAGAGGCTGTGCTGGGGGAATCTCGTCGATTTTTACTCCGTTGCCACTATGTTGCGACTTGCGAGGGAGAGGGAGGAGGAGGGATGGGGGCAGTGGGTCCCTGTGTCGCCAACCGTCGCGCCGCTGCTTGCATAGCTACCGCCGCTGTCACAAAACAAAAGGATGGGAAGAGAGAAGAAAGAACATGGAGAAAAGGATGGGAAGAGAGAAGAAAGAACATGGAGAATGAATGGAAAACGTGACGGCAGTACGGTTCTAATTTTTTAAAATTCAGTGACGCAGTTACGGATAGATGAATTATAAAGATATTTTTATGCCAAATGGCATATCGATAATGACATGGCTCGAATTAACCTTTTGGTTTTGAGCAATGCTACACGTATTAAATTTTTCTTACTAAACTTTTACTAACAATCATCTCAACCGTTTGATTTAAGTAGATAGAAGTTACAAAAAATCTAGATGCACTCATAGCATGACACATCAGTGTTAGTAAGAATTTAGTAAAAAAAGTTATTACGTATAGCCTTTTCCTTCGGTTTTCCCTGGCTGACGAGTGACAAAACTGCAGTTGAGCACATGCGGCAAAAGAACACCCCCAGCGTCATCGTGCCACGTGGATGGCCCCCGCACCAAATCAAACGGCCCCCGCGAGAGGAACGCCACAACCAACCTCTCCCCCTCCTCTCCGCAGCCGCACACTCCCGTCACGTTGCGGTACGGACACCCACACACACAGAGACACGCTCCGCCTCTCACTGATCCGTGGGACCACCGATCCGCGGCACGCCAGTTCGGGCCAATCAGAGCCCAGGGATCCACGCTGGCGATCCGCGGGCAGTCACTCACCCCCCGGCTCCCACCCCCACCGCCGTCCGATCGTGGCGGAGGAAACACACCCGCGGACGATCTCGGCCGTCCGACCACGCGGGCGGATATACCAACCGGGCGGGGGGTGGGGGATTCCTCGCTATAAATAGGAGGCCGCCGCTTGGCTGAGCAATTTTTCTGCGGTTTCTTCTTCTTCTTCCTCCTCCTCGCGCTCCCCCGATTCGAAGCGTGAAGAGAGGAACGGCGCTTGCGAGAGGAGAGAGGTAAGCATCACGGCGAAGTTTCCCCCTCTCTCTTTCTTTTCGTCTCGTTTGCTGCGACCCCGGCGGGGTATTGAGATTCTCCGTTGAGGTCGGTTGGTTGGGGGCTTGGGGGATTGGGTGGGTTAGGGCTTGGGGGTGGGGGGAATTTGGCGATTTGGGGGGTTTTCTCGGGTGATCTGCTTGTTTTTGCGCCGTTTCGCCCGGTGAATGCCAGCCCCGTGTGATTTGCTGGTTTGGTTGTGGTCTAATCGTCTGATATTCCAGGGCTGTGTAGTCCTGTAGTTTTTGACTAGGTAATTGGAGTGCTGATGGGATTTGCCGTTGAATTTTAGGTTGTTTAGCTCTAATTTACCTGCAACGTTTTGGGAATTAGGGTTTCTTGGTGAATTTTAGGTTGTTTAGCTTTAATTTACCTGCAACGTTTTGGGAATTAGGGTTTATTGGTGATATAGTGGATACGCATCGTAAACTTGTATTTAGGATTCCCCTTGGGATTTTGTAGGCGAGTGGCGGCTGTATGTGATTGGCACGAATTATTTACTCGGGTGAATTTAGACTAGCTATTTTATTGTTGCCGTGCCCTTTCTGGATATGAACGGATGAATATGGCGTCACTGCTCGATGATATCGCAATGTTATGATTGAAAAAGCATAGTAGTTATACTGATGCCATTGTGTAGTAGTTAGTTTGTACCTCCCCTGGGTTGCATTGCAACTTGCGTTAATATGGATACTCCGTACAATTGTTTATTGTTTACTTGGTATAGCTATGCTGCATTTTCTATATTTGTTGGGTTATAAGTTTTTGTCCAATATTTTTAATGACTTGTGCCAGAGGCTCTCAATCCTCTGTTATTAGACCTGTAATTGTAAGGTCTATTTCTCCTTCATTCTGTTTCAATGTTAGTTTGTGGATGTACAGAAATCAAGCTATGATTGATATAATACATTGCTTTGGCATAATGGCACTCTTATTTTTGTTTTATTTAGGAGAGTGCTGTGTATTAGTTTGTTCAGTTAATTCAATGTTGTATGTTTTACTGTGTCGGGAACTTACAGATGTTCTCTTTAGGTTTCTATCCATTAGTAAGTAGAGTTGTTGCTTTGCTTGAAACCATCAATTTGAATCTGTTTATAGAGATAGGCTGTTATTCCTGCTTACTATTTTTTATATAGTTACTTTGCCATCCGTTAATCAGGTTAAGAACAATAAATTGTGTCCATAATCAATGTTTTCAATGGAACTCACAAAATTTTGACAGAAACATGTTGCTTTCTTAGGTCAATCTCTAGCATATTGTTTTTTTTTTGAATTGTTACTTGTTTCTGTGGTGTTATTACAGAAAGTGCTTACTTCCACTCTAGAATTTTATTACATTTTTGTCACAGCATATTCTGTCTGTAACATGTTATTCCTTTTTGTAACATAGATGGCCCGTACCAAGCAGACCGCTCGTAAGTCCACAGGAGGAAAGGCTCCCAGGAAGCAGCTTGCCACCAAGGTATAATTCTTTTCATACTTGCCTTTTGCTTTGTTAAACACAGAGTGATTTCGACAGATGGTCTTACATCACCATCTCTGTGCAGGCTGCTCGTAAGTCTGCTCCCACCACTGGAGGAGTTAAGAAGCCCCACCGTTACCGCCCTGGAACTGTTGCCCTCCGGTTAGTATCAAATTCCTGGGATGGTTACCTCCATGTGGTCTTTGATATGCTTTTGCTTATTTGTTTTGCTACTATTGTGCTTATAAAACAGTGAGATTCGCAAGTACCAGAAGAGTACTGAGCTTTTGATCAGGAAGCTGCCCTTCCAGAGGCTTGTTAGGGAAATTGCACAGGACTTCAAGGTTGGTATCTCAAAAGTTCATGGCATAATTTGATTGCTTTCAAATTTGGATTGTTTGTGATGGCTTATCGATTGAACTTGGCTTTGTTGTTTTGCAGACCGATCTGCGTTTCCAGAGCCATGCTGTCCTTGCCCTCCAGGAGGCTGCGGAGGCATACCTTGTTGGTCTCTTCGAGGACACCAACCTGTGCGCCATTCATGCCAAGCGTGTGACCATCATGCCTAAGGACATTCAGCTGGCTAGGAGGATTCGTGGTGAGAGGGCTTAAATTCCCCTCGGCGATTCCTTTGACAAATGAAGCATGCGTCGTAGTGTTAGTAGTGGGTTTTAATCTTTTGCTTATAAGAACAATCTGAGTAGGGTGTATTTTGTGGAACAATATGTTTCTCATGATGGTGCTGTATTCGTCTTATTGGTGGATCTGTCAAAAATACTCAGCATATTGTCAGTGTGTCTGGTGACTCTTATTTTGTTAGTCTGATTCGTTTGCGTCTTATTCTAGCGGTGCTGCCTCTTTGGCACTGTGCATGGCTAGATACAATTACATTGTAATTCACCTGTCTCTAATCCGTGTTAATGTAAGTGTTCCGTTGCTGTCCGTGTGAATTGTGTGATGCTAATTTCGCTTGGCTTTGGCTCTGTAAACCACAAAGATTAGGTTCAAATTTATACTATGTTTTAACTAGGGCAAAGAATCTTGTGTGGTATAGACCGTTTTGATGATTCATGTTGTATTTATTGGTACCCTTGAAATTTTGTGGTATTCTTTGAATTTTTTGGCCGGATGCTGAGGTTATATTCAAATTCACAAAGTCACATTTTTGTGCGAGGTGGTCGATTGCTTACGAACAACAAACATATCTTAAATTTTGAATATTCAGAATTTCAGACGATTGCAGACGTTAAATGAGGAAAGTACGGCTCCCTTTGAATTGAAGGAAGGAAATATATATGAATTTTAGAGGATTTTATTCTTATAGGAATTTTTTCTACAAAGCCTTGAATTAAAGGAATGAACCCTATGAAATCCTATCAAATCCTATGAAATTCCTATGGAATATCTTTTGAGTCTTTATCTCTACTCAAATTTTTGTGTTTTTTCCTGTGGTCCAATCAAACGCGTTTTTTCTGTGTTTTGCAATCGTCTGTTTTACACTTATATTTATGTTAAAATTCTATATTTTTTCTATTTCTCTATTTTTTTATTTATTTGATTCAAAGGGGCCTACACGTGATTTCCTTGAGAATAGAAGCCCACAAGTCCCAGTGGACCCTGCACCAAACAGCTTTTATTCATTCCAATTCCAAGAGAGGAGAGAAATATAATTATATAGCACAGCACATAAGAGTACTAGTGAGTAACCAGTGAGTAGTACGCCCGGAGCTCGCATCGCATCACCGGCTGAGAGAGATCCTAATTCCGAGATGGCCACGACGCGGGGGCAGCTGCCCGTCGAGGACGTGCTGCGCGTGAACGGGAGCCGGCGATTCGCCGCCGCGCTGGCCGCCGCCTCCCCCTTCGCCTCCCTCGCCGACGCCCTCCTCGCCGCCCGCCGCATCTGGCTCAACGAGGTAGGTATTATTATACTCCTACCTTTCTAACCACCACATCCCCCCGCGGTTGATGATGATGATGATGCTCGCTGCTCATGGCTGGATATGGTTTGTTGGCCCGCCGATCGGATCGTAGGTGGACGTCAACGGGTGGCTGGAGGCCTTCGCCGCGCACCCGGCCATCGGCACCACCTCCTCCTCCGCCCCCAAGTCGGTGCCTCTCTTTCCTTCTTCCTTTAGTTTTTTTAGTGGAGTAGTTTTTTTTTCTTTTTGGGTTTGTTTGTTGTCGATCTCCACTGTCTGTCGCCGAGAGCGGATTGATTTGCTTAAGAGCTCCTAGAAGGAAACTCCCTCAGCCAAGATGCTTTGCTCAACTTGTTCAAATCATCCATCCTATGGAGAAATTCACTCTGCGGCGTTATCAGTTTTGACGAATAGAGAGATCTGAATTATCAATGCCCGTACTGGCTTACAATACAGAGAGGCATAGCCGCATAGTACATGTTCATGGTGTTCTCAACTACCTTAATTTACAGACCTCTACAACCTTACATATTGTGCCACTAATGTAAGGTGGTTCAAGACGAGTCTAGTCTGATATATAAAATCACACTAGCCAAAGCCAATAAACAAATGAATAAAGAGAATCAGGTAGTTTTCATCAACAAGTACACAAGGGTGGACAAGTAGAAAGTGCTTAATTGGTGGTTGGGAGCTCTTGCATTATTTGAGTGTATATGCCCTTTAAAAGCTAGTACCATGGTAGGAAAATTTTGATTTGCTTCGTGGGGGTATTAGGTGGTGCAAGGAGGAGCAATCAGCAGCGCTTGCAACTGCCACTGATTCGACCGCGCAGGTGCTGCAGCTTTCTTTGCCATCATTTTCTTGCATGTTTTACAGTACTTGCAGGCTCAATATGCTTCTTTTCACCTGCTGTAGGAGTTGGCAGATTGGAATGCCAGGTATAGGGAGAAGTTTGGGTTTGTGTTCATGATATGCGCGTCTGGGAGGACTGCCCCTGAGGTCTTAGCGGAGCTTAAGGTCTGGATATGCTCTTCTATTACCTGATTAGTATTCTGTGCTTATTTATCTCTTTTTAACTAGCGCTCGTATGTTTAGATGATTGTTCTCTATGAGTAATGACGAACTGTGACCTGTGGAATAACAGTAAAATGAGAGCCATAGAAGTAACACTGTTTCTAAGGGATACACATGTTAAATTTATCTCTGACACTGTTTGCTGGATAACCTATTTCTTAGCATGACAAGCATTTCATATACAACTAAGCTTCATATAATGACTTCCTTTCCATTGTTGAAGTTATCTTATTACCATCCTGCTCTTTCAGAGGCGCTATGAAAATAGGCCAATTGTTGAACTTGAGATCGCAGCACAGGAAGAACTGAAGATAACTGAACTGCGTCTTGCAAAGCTTTTTGCATCAGAGCCTGTTGCCCCCCCTTCTTCAACGGTTGGAGGTCCTACTAGCCAATCGGATAAAGCAGCAGGTACTGAAACAGTTTTATCTGCTGTTAATAAATGCATGCTCTTTATTCAACATATTCGAGGATTTTCCGTGTACCTATCCAATATACTTATCCCAATGGTCCTCATTAAGTTTCTTGGATTGGTAGTTCCCATGCCCACATTTATTTTTTGACTGAGCAGCTGTGCTGTGCATTTTTGGGCTTTTCGCATATAGTCTTTTCCATGACGAAGGCTACACTTTGATGTTTTCCATGGTCATGGTTGCACCTCATAGGTTAGTACATCATTTTTTTTCTCAGAAATAAGTCCTGATATCCAATACTAAAGGAACTATATTTTTTCTGACTCTAAAAAAGTAAAAAAGAAATGCAGTTCACCTAGTATTTTGGTTCACTTAATTTGCAGAAAAACGCACTGTAGTACTGTATAGATTAGTAGTTGCAAACTTTTTTTTCTGATGTTAATGAGCAACCTAGTGTTGACATGATTACACGCAGCAACTTTGCTTACTATTGACCTCCGATCCATTTTCTTATCTATATGTATTATCTCTTGGCATATAAAACTGTAACTGAAAACAAGAAATGAAGTAATTCATATGTGGAGTAAATAAGTAATGAACTAACTTTACGGAATGAGCATATCCTGGAAAGGCATCTCCTGGGCATCGCTTATCATCAATATTTGAAAGTTGAACTAGCTGCGACAATTAACCTGTACGTTATAATTAACATCACTTTATTTTCCTTCGCATGTTGTGTTGTGGAAGTGTAGCATACTACTAATGGTTTTATAATTATTCTGCTTTCTTACCATTTTATTGTTCAAAAGACCGCATGCGGATTATTGGAGCACATCTTGGATCTCACACCCAGCATTCTGCCAATAAAGCTCCTGAAATTACAGGTAGCTCCAACCGAACTCGCCCTCCGATCACAACCCATGTTTTGGATGTCGCTCGTGGATCGCCAGCATCAGGAATTGAAGTTCACCTAGAGATGTGGAAGGATGCATCAACACCCCCATCATTCAACAACAAAGATTTCAATGGATGGGCAACCCTGGGCTCATCGGTTACGAACAACGATGGCCGCAGCGGTCAACTGATGGACATTGTCAATAACGTCGCTCCTGGTTTCTACCGCATAAGTTTCAACACCAGCAAGTATGCACCTTCAGGGTTCTTCCCTTATGTGAGCATCATATTTGAGATAAAAAAGAACCAGACGACCGAGCATTTCCATGTCCCTCTGTTGCATTCTCCTTTTTCATTCACCACTTACCGTGGCAGTTAAGTTAGCCTGTCCCCAAGTCTGCGAGATGCTGCATATTCCATCTGAAAAGTTCGTGTGTAATATTCCTCTTGGTAGCAAAATGTCGGGAAAACAAGTTTGCTTTGGTAGCAAGGGTTGCCTGTTTATGTGCACTGACATTATGATGCAAGAATAAATTTGATATACTAAAATGTATACAGAAGCTTGATGTCTATAGTACTAAAGTTTCAGTGCATGGTTTGGTACGACACATGCCACTTAGTAGATGGATTATATTACACTTATCAATCTATACCTGTATGACCACTTTTTTGATTCATTTGCCATTTTTTTCCTAATCCAAGACTTGAGTTGCAGATACTGATATTATTGACTCTGGAAAGATACGGGGAAATATCTGCTGAAAACCATCAAATAAGTGAAAACTTGTTAAAGGCATCAAAACAAAAATTTTACAAGTTTATATACTAAATTCCATTCAACAAACAGGTTTGTGTAATACCAATGCAAATTATTAAGAAAAAAAAACTAGATATGAAAATAGGTAATGAATTATATCACCACCACCAAATTTCAAATTCAAACTCAATTTTTTTTGAGAATTACACAGTACAACGCAGACACTCACAACGCACGCGCACTCACCCCTATGAACGCACGCACGCAAACTCTACCCCTATGAGCATCTTCGAAGACTGGGCCGGCAAATCCTGGAGAGATTGACGAAGTCACCACAGGCGTCTCGCTGTCGACGGGTACGTCGTCTACCACTGAAAGCACAACGCCGTTAAATCCTGGAAAATTCGCTCCCATAGGGAGTTGAAGTCAGGACCTCAGGTGCTACTGAGGCTCTTGTAACCACTAGGTTACAGACCCTTTCGCAAACAACTTTTAATTAAACAACTTTCGCAAACTCAATTTTAGGGCCTGTTTGGTATAACTCCAACTCCTAAATATAACTCCAGGAGTTGAGTTTGGAGTGGAGTTGTGGAGCTGCCTAAACCCAGCTCCACAACTCTAGTACATTTTGTGAGAGAGCTCCACCCAACTCCACTCCCAGTTTTGGTGGAGCTGAAACTGTTTGGCTGAGCTCCAGCTCCAGGAGGGGTGGAGCTGGAGCTGGAGCTGTGCCAAACAGGGCCTTAGTTGGAAGAGGAAAAAAACAACTTTTAATTAAATACAAAAGGCACCAAAATAATTAAGCGAATAGCATGTATCTGTTCTATCGGCAAGCAACAGACGCACCAACCTATCAGGCCAGGGTAACTAGTAAAATTTAACGATTTGATATTATATTCGTTGACAGTTTAATTCTATTAGCACTTGAAGATATAGTACCTACAGTGCAATCTTAGAGTTTTTTTTTTTTGAAAAGTGATCCCCATATGTTATTGTATATAGATTAAATCTCCACGAGAAATCGTTTTAAGTTTGTGGTTGGACTCGTTGTAATTTTTGTTTCATTTCTAATTAATAAAATTTGAAACTGTGGGGGACTCCCGTGCAATGATTGAGGTAAAATAAAATTCTCTCACTGTACCCTTCATCACTAATTCACTGCCGTTGCCACGCCACATCTTCCCCCATCCCCTGCCTTCGGGCGCTGAACGGTGGTGCAGTCAAGCCATCGTCACCGTCAAAAAAAAAAAAACAGTGGCTCACATTCGTGCATGTATACATAGAGTAGAATGGGCCAGCCCATTAGTCCGTGCAATCAAGCCAGCAAATGAGGCCTAGCCAGGTTGGCGCATTATGGCGAGAAAATGTCCGCGGTAATGGAGTCGCGGAGGGAAAAATGGCATCTTTACTCTATTTTGGCGCCGTAATTACATAATTATCTTCGTTTACCCTTTTCACCTCCATTTCTCTTCTTAGGAACCCCTCCTCCCCGGCACGCAAAACAAAGCACCTATTATTGTATGATTAATTAAGTATTTACTATTTTTTTTAAAATAGATTAATATGATTTTTTAAGCAACTTTCATATAGAAACTTTTTTTTTAAAAAGTACCGTTTAGCAGTTTGAAAAGCTTGCGCGCGGAAAACGAGGGAGATAGGTTGGGAAAGTGAGGTATTGAACGGAGCCTTAGCTGTAAAAAGAATTTATGCCCTTTTCTTGTCACCTCTTCACAGCCTAGTTTTGAGATGCAACAAGCTTGTGATCGGTTAGGTATGGCAGAAGAAACCACTTGAAGACCACGTATTTGCCACCGTGGTTGGTCAGTTTCTACGAGAGAGATGGAAGAAAAGGTGGATGGCGAGCACCATGAGTCCATGAGGCAAATAAATACCATCTCTATACTTGTCATTCTTCAAGCATGGCTGTATTTTCTCTGTAGTAATAATCTTATGGAGGTAACACTGGTTTCGAGGTTACAAAGAGGTATGCAAATAAGAGGAAGTCTGCTGGTAGTTAGATCATTTAGATATGTTTGCTCAAAAAGAGGGTCATCGGAAACAATATAAAAGAGGTTATTTAATAAAAATGTCCTAGAGCTGAAACTAGAACCGGCTGTCAAGTAAGAATTGGCCTTATACTAGACCATGACTGATCTTGTTCTAGACCACAATCACATCCTTTATCCACGAGAAACATTCCACCTAATGTCATCACAAAGGAATAATTTAGATTTGCAACCTTTTAAAATTGAGACAGCCGATGACTCCGGAATTGGACCAAAAGCTGCACATGAGCTAGCTAGTCGTTAAGTTGGTGGAACATTTAATCTTAGCTACACCCTTCATGATCAAAAAAGTTATTTGCGTACCAAGCGACGGAGGGAGATGGCATATGGTCAAGCCGGAAGTATGTTGAAGTATTTTCAAGTCAAAATTGCTGAGAATCCATCCTTCCAATATGCTTTGCAAATGGATTGTGATGAACAAGTAGCAAACATATTTTAGGCTGATGCTAAAATGATCATAGACTATGCACATTTTAGTGATGTCACTTTTGGTACTACTTTTGGAACAAATAAAGAGAGTAGACTTTTGGTGTCTTTGTTGGATTCAATCATTTTCGAGAAACAGTAGTTTTTGGTGCAGCTCTTATGTATGATGAAACATTTGAGTCTTTCAAGTGGTTGTTTGAGACCTTTATAAAATCACATAATGGCAAGCAACCTCAAACAATTTATACAAACCAAGATAGTGCAATGGGCAAAGCTGTTGAATAAGTGTTCACAGAAGCATGGCATGGATTATGGACGTTCCACATAATACAGAATGCTATCAAGGATTTATCTCAACCGAAGAATGAAGGCTCAAGTATTTTATCTGATTTTAGTGCTTGTATGTATGAGTACAAGGACGAGGCAAAATTTGAAGAAACATTTGACACCATGAGAAGCAAGATGCAGAAGCAGACTTGGTTATATAGTATCTACAAGTTCAAAAAAAAGTGGGCTAAATGTTATATGAAGGATGTCCATACATTGGGGATGAGAAGCACACAATTAAGTGATAGTCTGAATAATGACTTGAAAGACCATTTTAAATCTAATTTTGAATATCATTTGGTTTCTACAACACTTTGAGAGGGTAGTGCAACTGAAAAGAGATAAGGAATTGAATTCTCTATTTGAGTCGAGGAAAAAGTTGCCAAGAATTAAAATGAAAATACCTATATTGTTGCAAGCAAGCAAGCTGTACACACCCATTATATTTGAAGCATTCCAAGCTGAATATGAACGTTTCATGGCAGCATGTGCTGAAGTGTTGGATGGAGATAATAAATATCTTGTTGCAATTGGAGATGAGAATTTAGCATTTGAAGAGGAGTACATGGTTGCTGGTAATCCTTTAGAGCAAATGGCTATATGTAGCTATGGTCAATTCAAGAGGATTCGAATATTCTGTGGCCATGCTTTAAAAGCTCTTGATTTGATGAATATCAAGTCACTGCCAACACATTATGTGTTAAAGCGATGAACGCATTAAAGCGATGGACGCAAGAAGCACGTCTTGAAACTATACAAGATAACCAAGGAAGAAGCATAGTTGAAGGTCCAAGATTGGATGAAATGCTTCGCTACAAATATCTCTCATGCAAATTTCTTAGTTTGGCACATCAAGCAGTTAATTCACCATAATGTTTCTTGCTAGTAGACAACACGCTTAACATCCTCACCAAGGAAGTTGAAAATAAAATGGCTACAAGTCCATGTATTAATTTGGGAGACCCATGTGCAGCTCGTGTTGATGTTCAAGAACCAAATGTTTCACTTACTAATGCAAGCCTAAAGAAGAAAGAATTCCGTACAAGAAATTTGAAGAGGAATAGATCATGGACAGATAAGAATGGGACAAGGAGGAAAAAACAAAGTACAACTAAAAAAACTAAGGTAAGTTCTTAGTACCAATTTCATCCTAGTGCTATATTTTAGTTCATGCCAATGACCTTTGCATTATAAATTTTGTTCTCTTTCCAGCAACAAGATGTTGAGAATGCTGGACTGCAGGCACAAGCTGTAGAAGAGAGCAGTTCTAGGACCAACATCAGTGATGTTGGACAATATGGGGTCATAAATACCTTCACCCAATTGTTGATGGTAATCAAAATAATAAGCTAAACGCATAAACTTAGTGACTGCAATGTTACTAAGTTTTTTTTTTACTCTGGTTCAACTTTACATGGGCCAAACACCAATGAGCTTGGCACTGAAGACATTTTAGCTATGGCAATGCTTTTGTTCTTGTTAATCATATGCTCTAGTCACAATTTCTTTTGCCTTGTGATGTGATTTGTCACTCTATTGTGTAATGAAACATGTTTTTTAAAACTCATGAGTTGCCTTGCATTTTATTTTCGTGAAATTCTACGTATTTTTTAGGTGAATTAGCAGTTTAGCACTAATCAATTGGAGGCTTTCAGATAATGTTTAGCAGAGCAAAGGCTTTATATGCATAAGCTGACATTTTTTGGGCCAAGCCTTCTTCTATTTGCTTTGATGGACTAGCCCATTCTACTCTGTGTACACACACGAATGTGAGCCACTGGTTTTTGCTAGACGGTGAGGATGGCTTGACTGCACCACCGTGCCTTCACCCCCCGAAGGCAGAGGATCTGAATCCCCTCGCTGTGGCCTCTCCTCTCCTCCCGTCATTGCATCTCCTATCGATCGGCTAAATCCTTTCTTCCTATATAATTGGTACCCTCAACAAGTCATTTATGCTATAAAGCTCAAATTTTGTGAGGCCACATAATCATGATTATATTGACCATTAGATCATCTTGCGTCTATGCAAATCAACCATTAGATCAAGTTCTTCTTAGCCGATGGCATCTGAGAGGACCAATGCTTTTTGTCTTCCTCTTAATTACCTCATGCATCATTATATCTCTCTTTATCACTAACCACTAACCAATACATCTCCCACCCGAATCCTACACCACTACATTTGTGTCTACCTCTTTCTCATTCCCTTTAATTTTCCTAATGCATCTACTAGCCATATCTAGGTCGATCCAATGGATTTTCTTGAAATATTTATGCTTGAACGGGCTTCCTCAATCATCTAAGGAGGAAATGTCAATGGTCCAATGAAAATTTGGTTTGTCACTGTCATAGATGACATCGAAAATTTGTTGGTACAAATTACAACACTCGATGATCTTTACCAATTGCAAGGATGTCTATCTATGTCTATCTCCTATGGTGATTGGTTTTTGGTACTCTATCATGATCTTGCTTCTTTTCACATCTGATTTCTTCGTTTATCACCAAGCTTTATTATGTCAATGTACCACAACTATGGTAACTTCAATTTTTGGTGTTGTAACTTCAATTTTTGGTAACTTTAAGTATTGAGGGATTGGTCCACTCTCACATTTGACCATCTACGTCTAATTAAAAGGTTGTGCTAAATCTTTGTGTTTTTCAGACTGGCAATCACTGAATTTGTTTCTCTACAATTCCTCCCATTTACTCATAGGTGAACATGTTTCTTGAAATTACTAGATTCATGCACCCAATAGTTGTTTCTTTTAAGATCATATACCAACATATGCATGCAGAGTTATCCGTATTTTCTCTTTGTTTTCTCGCAAAAAGAAATATTTTATTAGAGATCTTAAGCCAATTTAGTACATAATAAAAATAGTATCCTGTTTGCTTACCGTTCATGGTTCTTCGAAATGGGAGTATCTTAATTGGAATCATGTCATTTCAATTCATATAGTAATCCAATGTACATATCGAACGTTCAAGCATGCTGATCATGCAATTATGATAAATTTACAGCTATATGTTCCCTTCTATGTAATGATATTTTACCAATAGTCAAAAGTTCTAGAATTACATCTTATAAATTCACGATATAGCTATCCCGCAGCAACATGCGAGGTATCAACTAGTAACAAAAGCTCCCGAGCTAATGAGTAGAACATAACATGGAAAAATATAATACATAGGGATTACCTTTTCTACAAATATCTATCTTAAGGACTGGTCACTATATTTCACTGATTGAATGAATTCAGAAATTAGAAAGCCTTTTTATTTGAAACTTTAGAATGCCATCATCATGCAAAGAATAAGCCGAACATAACTGTACTGCATCTATTTTATATTATACTAGTTGATACCCCACGCGTTGCTGTGGGCTTTTGTAGAATTCAATAATGACCAAGTTTGATCAAATTAGAAAGCGATATGCTTTAGTGTGATTGAGCGCAGAGTATGATATTGAATTTATTTATCAAAAGATACGTGTCAAAAAGATGTTATGAAGATACTAATATGTACTTATGTAATTGCATATTAGTAATTGCACTTTGTTACCTTACATGATTAATCCAAAGAAATTCTTCTGTACTGCAGAAAGGCTAAACTACAACATTCAGAGCTTAAAATTTCTCTGCACCAGGAATTTGTCAACTCATTTGAGGAACCGATAAATATGATGCAATATAGGGAAAAAAATGCAAACTGTAGTAAATAGATTCCTCAAACAAAATCATGTGCTTGGGCATACAGGGAGAAAAAGGTAACACCATGAACAGAACATACTAACTGTAATTATATCAGACTTTTGATTTTACCTTCTGAATCGGATCATGTGGGTCAAAGCAATCAATGGTATTTGATCTGTTCATCTCACTGATCACATTCTTATAAAAATCAATTGTGCCAGAAAAGGAACAAATTTGTATTTAGGAGACTGGTGGCTGGAGCTCGCTGCTGTCGATGTTGCATTGCCGTTCATCTTTGATGGCCTGCATTTTTTTTTTCAAATATTCAGGTAGGACATGGCTACAACTGCTGAGAACCACCGTCCTGCTCAGGTGCTCTTTATTGGATTGTAACTTTGAAAGTGCTAATTAACAAATACAATCACTTGCTTGAAGCAGATGATCTGCAAACTGAATCATGTACTCCTGATAAAATCAAAAGGATAAAAATGTCCAGCTCGCTTCGATCCTTTTCTTATTTATTCCACCCTGTAATTTAAACTGGAAACACATATCTACAAATACAAAATTAGAAATAAAGTAACGAACAATGAACTGAGAAAAGTAAAATCGATCATTGTGGTAGAACTGTAGAAGGTAACAACTGCAAACCTGAAGTCAATTTGGACTGTGGGGACTGGTGTCAGGTCCTGCGTAGCTTCAGTGTGAAGGAGGATGGACAATGCAACAAAGGAAATCCGGCATCCACTGGAGCAAGGTAGCATCCAAGGTTGGGTCATGGGCGTGGATACATGCACTGTTGATGGGACAAATAAGTAGGGGTTGCAATTAGAAGAAATCCTTTCTTAAGAAACTAAAACAATAGTCAGTCAGTGCATACGATTAACGATAGTGTTACTTTCTTCAAGTTAAGAGAAACAATTCAACAGAACTTCATATTGCTCTAGCATGGACAAAATCACAGGGTATGCTCAAATAGTATGCAGACAAAATTCATGATGAATTCAGACTTACTAAACTGCATCAATTGTCGTACAGAATTGCTAAAGAGGCTGAAATAGACGATGTGCCAAACAACTAATGGTGATGATGTGCTACAGTGGTTAATCAGAATTATAAATTTTATCTTGTGTCAGGATTTCTGGAACACCTTGAAACGTAGTGATAATCTGCTTGCTGTCTTGACTGTTCCAACTCTCTGCGTTTAATTCAGACCTAAAAGGCTGAGACAAAGGCATAAGATAAGTCACAGTGGTAAGAACAAATGAAAAATCCCTTCAGTCTACAATTTCAGAATGTCGGTAAACTCGTAAACAACCAAAAATAGATTTTATGCAACCAATATTCACATGTAAAAGAAAGAATTGAAGTAAGAGATAAAGCAGATAAATTTTGACATTTGCATCAATTGCTGGAACACCTAAACACTAACCATCCATTACTCTTTTGGAATCACAAATATGTCATCCGATGAACTGTGCAGGATAAGAGAATGGAAACTGGGGGTGATGGCTGTATCCATGAATCCCTACAAAGCAAATCAAACAAATTCAATTAGCCGGTGCAAAGTTAATTTCTACACGCAGTGGTAACAAAACATCCTAACGATGTGAAAGAAACTTTGAGTGATCAGACGAAATTAAAGCATATGCTTTAAAAAAAGGATTGGCCAAAGTATTAGTCAAAGTCTCAGAGATCACACAAAAGTAGTGCTTCATGCATTAGGGATCTACTCCATGAAGTAGAACTGATGAAGGAACATGGGCCAGCGAGCAAACTGTAGCATGCATATCTGTCTATGGATCGTACAGCTCAAATTCCGCCCAGAAGTCCTCCGCAAACGTGGCGCAGCGCGAGTCAATCACAACCTGCATCGAATGCGAAATCCTCAAAACTCTGTAGGACTACAATCTGAACTCCTCAGCTTAAACAACAAACCAATCACGCGCGCACCTCGGTTCCAACTTTGAAGAGGAATGATGGGTCGGCTAACATTCGGTTGTGGAGCATCGAGAATGCCCGGATCATCGCGGCTAGAGGCCATGGTGCTGCCTAAGAGATGAAAAAGGGGACTGAAAATACCTTCTCACAAACATTTTTTTCCCTTGTCACAAAAAAATCTTCTACAATTCGGATTACCTGCAGATCGAAGTAGCGGAGCAACAGGACTTCCCAGATGCCAGCATCCTTGGCCGCCTCCATATCGGCCGGGAGCGAGACACCGCGTGCCATGGCTAGGCGCAGCACCTCATCGAACCTGAGCAGGGGCCCGAACTCGGCCTCCTCACAGTCGTCATCGTCGCTACCGCCGCCGCCGCCGCTGCCCTTGCCGCTATTTCCTCCGGAATCGCTCCCGTGGTCCCCCGCGCCTGATCCGTCGGTGGTGGTGGCACGTGGGGCTTGTGGCCTGGAGCAGGAGAGGGAATGGGGTTTGGGGGGCAGTGGGGAGAATAACCTGGAGGAGAGCTGGTGGAGGGGTCTTAGCTCGTGAGAGGGATTTGATGGGGAGGAGGAGGAGATCACGGCGGCAGCGACGGCGGAGGCGAGGGAGGGGAGGCGGCGGAGGCGAGAGAGGAGAGGGGAAGGGGCATGGCGCTAGGGCTCCCGGCGCGGGCGCATATCTCCATCTCACGATACAGCCGACGCTACAGGCGCGCAGCTCCGCGGCGTGGCTGGCGCGTGGGGATGGGGGAGGCGCGGGGAGGAGAAGCGAGCACTTCATCCGACGGCTGAGATGCGATGTAAGATTAGATCCAATGGCTGAGATTTACAGGTGAAGAAGGATATATAGAAAGAAGGATAAGATCTTTTGATTTTTATAGTTAAATATATTTAAGGTTTATCAATTTTATAAAAAGATTAGCACGTTTAGCTAAATCTAACATAAAACATGTTTTGATAATACATTTATTTTGTAATAATATTATTTATTTTTTATTAAATTAAAGAAGTTTGATTAAGTAAAAAGAGTAAATAGTTAATAATATAAAAGGGAGGGAGTATATACGAAAGCTCGACAGAAATCAAACGAATGAAGAAGTTTATGTACTAATATCTACAAAGTCAAAGGTCTAAAATGAAAGAAGACGAATCCCCCCCACATCCCCATCGCTCGATTCCTTTCCATCCCTCGCCTCCGCGCGACGGCAGCGACAGCGGCGGCAGCGTTGCCGCTGTCCCCCCATCCCCTCGGGCGGCGGCGGCGGCGGCGGCGCGACCACCGGTGCGGTTCCCCATCCCTAACCCTAGCTAGCCATTTCTCACTGCCGTACTACCGCCTTGAACTGCAGAGATTCATCTGGAATTTAGGTTCTCTTTTTGTTGTTGGTGACGAACAACTCTAAGCGGTCTAGCTTTGCTCACGTTGCTTCGTTTAGTTCTGTTCAAATTATGTTTCTGTTCCTGTTTGCTGTGGGCTAATCTAATCCACATATTATTAGCTTCCTCTCCAATGAATGTATGAACGAATGGATGGAATTAACCTATCGAAGCTTGTCTGTTTCAGATTCGGTTGGTGCGTGTTGCAGTACAATCGTGAAAGAAAAGGGAAATTGTAGGATTTCGCTTCGATAAGTTGACCGTATTGTGGATGTGATATGCACACATGCCCGTGTTATGTTAGGTAATATGTGTGTTAGGTAATGACGAGCTTGCCTGGTAGGGGTGTATCGCCGTCTTCGTCTGATCCGTTGTGCGAGGGTAACGCTGCACCTTCTTCTTCTTCTAGCTCGGGGCAGGACCTGAAACAATTGAAGAACTCGATCCTGTCCTGCGTTTTCAGCTCCCCTTTCAGTATATTTGAGGCGCACCAGGATTCGTCGGCGAACAGGTCGCTGAAACCGCACTCTGGATCCTATGCTTGGTCGAGGTTTTTGAGGAGGATCGCGTGTACCGGCTCGATGTGGCGTTTCCTGGGCGCCTCCAAGGCTCTCACTTCAAGTGATGTGTGGTTCCTTGGTAAATGTTACAAGCTGTCGTCCGAGGAGTTATCTAATAGCTCGGATTGCGAAAGTGGGAATGCCGCATTTTTAGAGGACTTCTCATCAAGGATATGGATCACTTACAGGAAAGGTAGGCATTGCAACCATATGCCTGGTACAGCAAGTTAATGGACATCAGTGATGAGTTGTTTGCATGATCTTTTTGTCTCAGGCTTTGATGCCATCTCTGATTCCAAATATACTAGTGATGTCAACTGGGGCTGTATGGTCAGAAGCAGCCAAATGCTGGTTGCTCAGGTCCTTCCCTACTATATTTAATTGAAAGCGCTTCTCCTTTTTTTACCACTGCAGATGTAAATAAAATGGTATTTGGATGGATTTTTGCAGGCATTGATTTTCCACCATCTTGGAAGGTCTTGGAGAAAGCCCTCACAGAAGGTGAGATACATGACTACCTGTTCTGATCTTAAGACTAAATAAAATTTTCTGTTTTTAGTTGTAGTAGGTGATGGACCTCTTTTAATTTGTAATGTAGGGTTGCTTATAATGATCGAATGTTCATATGCAGCCGTATAGCCCTGAATATATAGGGATCTTACACATGTTTGGTGATTCTGAAGCTTGTGCTTTCTCGATTCACAATTTACTTCAAGCTGGAAAGAGTTACGGTCTGGCTGCTGGATCATGGGTAGGTCCATACGCCATGTGCCGGGCATGGCAAACCCTTGTCTGTACCAATAGGGAGCATCATGAAGCTGTAGATGGGAATGGGAATTTTCCTATGGCTCTTTATGTGGTATCTGGTGATGAAGATGGTGAAAGAGGGGGAGCTCCAGTTGTTTGTATTGATGTTGCTGCTCAGCTTTGCTGTGATTTCAACAAAAATCAATCAACCTGGTCTCCGATTCTTTTGTTGGTCCCTCTGGTTCTTGGTCTTGACAAACTTAATCCAAGGTAATCACCAAGCTATTAAAATACCATGCTTTGTAGACTTTTGTGGAACAGTGTTTGGTTATCTGATATAGAGTTGTCCAAGTTGGTTTTTTCTACATGTACGCTATAAACCTGTAAGGATAGTGAAGTGGCTTGGGGCCTGGGCATCTACTCACACTCTACTATCTTCTAAATACAACATCCATTGTGTTATTACTCTACTCTGGTGTCTTAGTAGCTTTCCGTATGTTTATCAGAAAGAACAAAAGCTCGTCTTAAATCTAGAGAGCTATCAATTAAACTATGTTATGAACAAGGACAACGGTTTGGTCTTTCTGCTGACGATTGATTATAGTACTAACCATTTCCTGTCATTGGACTTTCTATCAGGTACATTCCTTTACTAAAGGAGACATTGACATTTCCTCAAAGCTTGGGCATTTTGGGTGGAAAGCCTGGAACATCAACCTACATTGCTGGGGTACAGGATGACAGGGCGCTCTACCTAGACCCCCATGAAGTTCAGCTGGTAAAACTATATTATTTTCTTAGCATATATGAACACCAGTTTGACAGATGTTGTGTTTTTCTGCCTCCAGTGAGTTAAGCAATCTACTCAATAAGTAGATTGACTTTCATGTAGCTATGTGTAATTAGAGTCTTGATGTCACATTGTCACATGCACCAATATGATCAGCAATTCATGCCTTTCCAATGGTGCTCCGCTGATTGCTCCGTCCTCCCAAGCCCTCCCGTTCACAAAAAAGGAAAAGAAAAGAAAACAGTATTACTAGTATGCACCTTTGTCTACTATGCGTGCAGTCAGGGATTGCTATCATCTGGCATTCTGGATTTTTTTCATGTTCCAGATTAAACTGAAAATCTCTTTCGGAAGGCACTCTGGCTTATCTACTGTTGGGTTGCATAGCCTTTAGCCCTGTACTCCATTTATTAATGCCTCAAGCATCCCAGTTTGCTAAGATTAAATGGTCTGTCTATGTCTTTCAGCCATGTGTGTTCTTAATCTTGTTACAGTACCAGTTTTCTGCTTGGGATCCCTTTTTGGTTAGCAATCATATGGAAGTATATTTATCAATGTAATGATTAGGGAGCTTTTGGTTTTTCATTTTGGAGTTATGGTAGTGACAGTGGGTGCTCTCTACATCTCAGGCAGTTGATATTGCAGCTGATAACTTAGAGGCAGGCACTTCCTCATATCACTGCAGGTATGTTCACAATTGCAAATTTGCAATTAGGATCTGGTAAATGGTACATGCATTTGTTTTTCCTTTGAAATTTTAAATAGTAAAACCCTTATTCATCTCTAACCGCACATTGACAGCACTGTACGAGATTTGGCCCTAGACCTGATAGACCCGTCATTGGCTATCGGTTTTTACTGCCGTGACAAAGGTGAACTGTTATTGCCAGATAAAATGTTGGGTCATCATTTAAGTTCACTCCAATCTTGGTTTTCTTATTTACTCTGTCTGTCTGCTTATGTAGACGACTTTGATGATTTCTGTTCTCGGGCCTCTGAGCTAGTGGACAAAGCCAATGGAGCACCACTCTTCACCGTTGTGCAGTCGGTTCAACCTTCAAAACAAATGTATAATGAGGAGAGTAGCTCAGGGGATGGCATGGACAGCATCAACGTTGAGGGTCTCGATGGCTCTGGTGAAACGGGAGAGGAGGAATGGCAGATTCTTTAGTGATGAAGTGGAAAAAAACTGACTTCACGAGGAAACTGAAAAAAATGTTGCGTCCAACACATCGGTGGAATGCCCTTGTTTTATGTGTGGGTGAATGAATAGAAATGACTCGTTATTTTAGAGTGTGTAGAGAACAAGCTGGACTGTCTCAATAGCCCAGGGGAGCTGGGAAAAATCGGCGTTGGGTACGTGCTACCGATGTAAAAATGTGATCAGTTCATCGCTCATTCGTTGGAAATTTTCTTGTGTCATACGTGCTCCTGTGGTTGGTTATGAAAATGAATTTATTACACGATGTTCTGTTATACTGTGCCCACTTATTTATACTATAAGACCTTGTTCGTTTAATCCCTCCCAAAAGAAGATTGAGTAGGATTTGGAGGAGATTTATTCCACAACTATTACGGTATGAAATTATTCCCCTTGATCCCCTCCATTCCTTCTCTCTTGAGGATTAAACAAACAAAGCCTAAGTGGGTTTGCTGGTCGATTCATTTGTGCCCTTATTCTGTTACCATATTAGAAGGTCGTGGTTGTTCTGTTACGGGAGAGGCGACACACTACCCGCTGTGCAAGATGTGATCGGAATTTTAGCATTTAATGCATTCAAATTAGTTTTTTTATTAGCATTTAATAGACGGAGCGTTGAGGGCTCGGAGGGCGACGATGGCGCAGCTAGCGTTGATAATGGAGATCGGCAACGGATTGGTGTCCTCCTCGTTGTCCCTTGCAGGCTCCCCTCTCTTCTCCTCCAAGGATGGGATGGTGGGGATTCTTGCAGCCTTGCAGCACGATCCCAACTTTTTTTCAGCTGAGGCTCTCGTCTCTCAAGTTAGTCCCGCGTCCTATGAAGTAATTGTCCCATACCACCACGATAACCGTTATCCTATTTGTTGAGCTATGGCTACACGTCACGTATGAGCACTGTGAAGGACTTGATATTTGCGGTGAGACATGTTTGCTTCAAACTCCTGAGGTTGCCGCGATCTTGTTTAGTGTATATTCTGGTTGCTACGGTAGTGGGGGTCTCAGTTTTTGGGGTCATGTTACTGTAGAACTTCTTGATTTATATATAGACAGAGGGTAAATAAGTAGTGGAGATTAACAAACTAAATAAATCTTAGTGAAAAACTTCATAGCAATATAATGGTGACAATAAGAACTTTTAACCATTAATGCACTAAAATATTTTTTATTATCTTTTTTTTTCTTTTCTTCATCTCATGCAACAAATTTTCTTTGATAGATGGTACGAGTCGACTATAAGCCGTTGGTATACGTATTCTCTTTTCTCCGCTCTCTCTTTCACATCAGCAGAGATTTATTTACATAGTATCAGATAGAGAACACTCGTTAACAATCGTTGTACGTGCCCTTAGCACCATCCAAACTTCTTATGTTTTTTATTTCAACGACCATAATCACGTACGCGTACGCTCAATATTAAAAGAAACAATGCCGTGTGGGAGATTCCATGTGAACTACCGGGGGAGCTAAATGTGGGGAAATGAAGTTAGGTGTGTCGTCAAAGATTTGTTTCATCAATAAAAGATGGATTAATTAAGTTTGGAGCTGAAAAAGAAAAAAAATGTTTTTAATAAAAGATGGATTAAGTTTTGAGCTGAAAAAGAAAAATGTCTCCATCCACGACACCACATGGCTAATCACCAACCACAAGAAAGGGTTTGACTTTGCCTAAACCACACACATCCATGTTACTAGTACGTACGATCGAGTAGCACTGAACACTTTGGATTACTCCTGAATTAACAAAGTCAACAAATGGCAGATCCCATATTCCCCCTGGTACTCCTCCCTCTCCATATAGAATTGTAATTTATGTGGTTGGCATATCCAAACAGGTAATTAATCTCCAATGCAGCAGGTGCTTCGAGAAGAAACAGTAACTATTTTCTCTTGTTAATCGAATGTAAGGGTGTTTTAGTCATCACACACATATGCTTAGCAGGTACTTAAGTTGGTAATCACCTTTGCAGCAACCATTTAAAACTCATGACAAAATGTCATCACCGAAGAACATAAATTCTTCCATACCTGATCAGCCCACTGAAATGGCAATGAAAAAAAAAACACACTAGCGATCTAGTGGAGTATACTTTAGACACGTTATATTATACGAATCAAAACAAAAACAATCTTTTATTACAAGCCATCTTGCGTAACCATTGACTATCTTTCCGATCACAATGGAGAACACTGAACACCACCCACGTAGCGTAGCCCCATTTTGTTCGATCGTCATCATCTTTAATCCCCAAAGATAGAAGAAACTGTAGCAAAATGTTTTATAGAACAGAATGACTGTACATACGACTCTATACGTACGACCTGCATACGACCGCACATAACAGATTTTAACTTGTTTTGATTGGGCCACGTGAATGCTTATGAATCCTGTGATTGGTTGATTTGGTGCAGTCGTATAAGAGCCGTACAGTTCAGTTAGATGTATAGCACTACTCTTTATACAATAGGGATATTACATCCATGTAACTACTTTTAGATTAGATTACTTTTTTTTACACAATTATTTGTGAATAGGGATATTACAATGTAACTACTTTTAGATTAGATTACATTTCTTTACACAATTATTTCTGAATGGGTGTGTACTTACAATGACGCTATCTTTTGTTCGTATATATGCGTCTTAATCAGTTGTCCTACCTTAATTACTTATTATTACCTGTACATGAGATGTGTAATTGTGAGGTTTGTCTCCAACCCGTTTCAATTCCCACGCACGTCACTCCTCCCACGTCTCCACCTCTTCTCCCGCCGCCTTCTCCTTATTTTTTCCTCTCGCCATCACACATCTCTCCACTTCCACCTCCACCTCCATGGCGCCCACCACCACATGCCAACGCATCCTCCTCCTCCTCCTCCTCCTCCTCCTCCTCGCCATTGCTCGGCCTGCCTCGTCGCAGCTCTTCACGCCGGCGCCGCCGCCACCGGTACAGGCTGCGGATGGCGGCGGGAGCGCGGGCTTTAACGTGGCGACGTCGCTCCTCTTCGTCGGGGTTGTCATCGCGCTCTTCTTGCTCGGCTTCTTCTCCGCGTACCTCCGCCGCTGCTCCGAGGCCGCCACCGCCGCGCACCGTCTCCGTGGGGGCGGGGGCGGCGGCGCGGTGCACGCCAGCGCGGCCGTGGCGGCCGCCGCCGCGGCGGCGTTCGCGGGGAGCGCCGGGAGGAGGAGGGGGCGCGCGGGGCTCGACGTCGCCGCGATGGAGGCGCTGCCGGTGCTGACGTACGCGACGGCGAGGGCGGTGAAGGCCGGGCGCGGGGCGCTCGAGTGCGCGGTCTGCCTCGCCGAGTTCGCCGACGGCGGCGAGAAGCTCCGCCTCCTCCCCGGGTGCTGCCACGTGTTCCACGCCGCCTGCATCGACGTCTGGCTCGCCGCGCACGTCACCTGCCCCGTCTGCCGCGCCGACCTCGCCGACCCGGCCGTCGCCGCCGCCGGCCACGTCCTTGCCGCTGACCTCGCCGCGCAGGCAGAGGCGCCCAACCACACGGTGGTCAACGTCGACACACCGGAGTCAACGATCGGAAAGGACTCGCCGTCCGATCAGCAGCCGCCGGAGTCGTTGACGGCGGAGGAGCGGGTGGACCGGTACACGCTGCGGCTGCCGGAGAGGCTGAAGAGGGAGATCGAGGAGGCCAAGCTGCTCCGCCGGTCGGTGAGCGCGGTCACCGCGCCCGCGGCCGCGTCGAGCGGGCGGTGGGCGTCGGCGGCGTCGCGGACAATGTCGGCGGCGCGTCCGAGCCGGCGTTGGTCGGCGCTGCTCCGTGCATTGTCCGGGCCGCGATACAGCGACATGGACGGCGGCGGCGGCGGCGGCCGGAGGGTGGCGCCGCTGCAAACCCACGGCGCCACCGGCACGAGCCATGGCGAAGGGGAGGACGTCGAGGTGGTGGTGGTGCACGGCGACGCCGGGACGGACGTGGAGAAGTACTACGCGCACAGCCTCACGTTCGCGGGATTCGTGATCGACGGCGACGTCGCCGCCGGCGACTGGAACCCCGAGGTGTTCCAGGTGTCCACCGCCGTTCCAGCCGCCGCCGGCGCCACAGCGATGAAATGCAACTCATATTGATGAAATTTAATTTCAATAGGAGCTGTACACATTTTTCTTTCCTTGGTAATCTTTTCATTCCAGCAATCCTTTTAGAAGTAGAAGAGGGGATTAAATGCTTATGGTGAATGTACCCCTAATTTTAATAGGAACTGTACATTTTAGATCAGACAATTTGTTGATGTATGTGGTAATCTTTGCAAGAACTACAGAACATGAAAAAAAACCCCTAACAATCTCTAATTCATGGGGATACCTCTGGCATGAAACTCTAAATTGATCTTAACTCTGGTCATTTTACATGTAATGTTCATCAAAGTCAACATTCCAATTCATCCATCATCACCATTGACCACAAAAGATGCACCTACCTGAAGGCTGAAGCATAAAAGACTTTATGTCCATGCAGTTAACAGTGGATGCACCAGTTTTCAAGGAAAATAAATTAAAGGTTGTTTACACAAATTAATTTGTTCCCAATAAAGTACAAGGGCACAATCATGGGAGATCTATCTTGGAAATCTGCAGCATCACACCAAGATCAATTCAGAAATCTGAGGAGGACAGTGCATCACAAGCTTTGACATGATGAGCAATTACCATGACCCCTGACATCAAGCAATGCATGGAATTCAGAGCCTAAACTGGATGCCCTAATTGTTGATTAGCTCCACAAACTTCTGGGGAAAATCAGTAGTGAAAACCACAATTATTAAGATCGGACCAGACCGGCGGTCCGACCGAAAAAATCCGGAACCAGGGCCTCAACCGGTCCGGTCCAGCCAAAAGATCAGCCATGCAATCAAACCGGAAGAAAGCCGGTTGAACTGCCGGTTTTAGGTATGAACCGGAGAAAAACCGGACATTAGACCAGAGCATAAACTGGTAACAGGCAGTTGGAACGTGAGATGGGAGAGAGAAGAGAAAATTAGGGGAAAAAGAGGCGCGCGGTGGACTCAAACTGCCAACCTGTGCTCTTAGAGCATCTCCAACAGAGTGGCCATTTTTGACTCTCAAAATACCTATTTAGCCAGTCTAACAAAAATTTAGAGAGTGAAATTTGTCTTCTATTCCAATAGACTCTCCACATTCCACTCTCTATTAACCAATAGACCCCACCTGTCATTCTCCTCTTTCTTCTTCCTCCCCCTTCTCCCATCCTCTGCTCATTCTTCTGCAGAGCTTGTGCCAGTGGCGGCGGTCGTGGCGGGCGACGGCGCGGACTGCGGTGGCGTAGGCCACGGCCGGCGATGGCGCGGACGCCGGCGGAGGCCGCGGCCGGTGACAACGCAGATGGCGACGGCGGACGTGGCGGACGACGGCGCGTACTGCGGCGGCGGTCGCAGCGGGCGACGGCGTGGCCGCGGTCGGCGGCGGAGGTCGCGGCCGGCGATGCCGGCGGAGGCCGCGGACGGCCGTGGCGGTCGCGTACAACGACGAGAAACAATAGCCTGATGTTAATGTGCGTGGAGCCCACAGTTGGACAGTCATTTTTGGCGGGCCAAATTTGGCTAGTGGAGGGAGGGTTTTGGCCAGCCAGATGGCTTAGCCATCCGGTTGGAGAGGCTGTTGGAGGGTGTTTTTTCGTTGGAATGGCTAAAATTTAGCTTGGAGAATCATTTGGAGAGACTGTTGGAGATGCTCTTAGGAAGCAATCTCCCACCACTAAGTTATGATTTTAATAAATATGTGAAGCTATTTGACCCGTGTTGAGCCAGTGGTCCAACCGGTCGGACCATGCAAACCGTGAACCGACGGCTTCACCGGTTTAACGTCCGATCCGGTCCTAATAACTATGGTGAAAACAGTATTACGAGTCTACTAACTCGCAATCGACTTCTTTCAGTCCATGAATATACATATCTATTTCCCCAAGAACAAGGCAGGAAAAGAGGTCTCTTCAACTTCTAATGCAAGTAATCTTCAGACCTTTTCATGAGAATTGTCTGACAGTAAATGAACAAATAATACAGTGGAGAATGATTCAAGGCCACTAATGCAAATACTTTCTTTTCCACTGTACCGACAGAGACTCTGTTAAATTATGGTTTCTCTGAATCTGACATAGTTCATCACAAATAAAAAATAATCATTGGTTAGAAACAAGTTGGTTGGAATTGTTTAGAGGTAGGTGCAAACTGGATAGCCAAGTTGTTGCATATTCTATAGTTCAAACCAGTGTATATAAACCTTGATGACTTTTTCAGGGACATTACAATTTAAATAGGAGGGAGTCAACAAATAGTAGAACCATGATTGATTATCGATATTTTACATCAACATGCTATTATTATTAGGTTCCCTTTGATCACAAAATAAATCATTTTATATAAGATTATGTTAAACTTTTGAAATTTTAACTATCAGCGACTTTTAAAATAGATCGTTTGAAAATATAAGTTGTATGTGTATATTTATATTGAAAATTAATATCATTAATTAGAATTCATAAGCTAATTATAATATAAAATTACGATTAAAGTCATGTCTCGAATATTTAGGGGAAAAAACGTTTGTTTTTAAACAGAGGGAATACTTCAGTCTTGAAGTTCCTCAATATAAGAATAGTTCACTATTTCCATATTCCAAAATGAAAACATGTTTATGTAATACATTGTGCAAAGTCAATCAGTCATTTAAGTATCTGTACAGCAAGATGCCACCAAATCTAATTATGGTTTTAAAATCCAAGTAGCAAATACAAAGCCTTCTTTGGTCAACAGAGCAAGCAAGATGCATTGCATTCTCTTAAAAAATAAACATATATTTCACTGGGTATTACCTTAGAAATTCAGCTGTGAACTACAAATACCTGATAGTATAATTTAGTCAGGCCATCTCTATCTTAAACAGGTCGTGCTAATTCCATGTTCTTTTCAAAACTGCAGAACAGCTTGTGCTTAATTAGTTATCTTGACTTGTTTAGTTGTTACTCCATTTGCTGTACTTCCAATCAGGAAGAGAAAAAAATTATAAAAATACAATGCAGGTTCATCTGATAAACGAGCTCACCTCTTCAAGGAGTAAACTAGTCCCAGCTATCATATGCATCTTCTCAGGGAAGTCAAAGTATCTTGCAGTCCTCCTACTCCTAGTGCTCATTAGTCCAAGTCAAATTGATTAGCCTATCAAGTACATGACTGCTATCCTCTTAATATTATGTACAGAGATAATCGGAGCAGATTGTTGTTCCTTCATCAAATAAAAATGATTCATATCACTTGTTGGGAATTGGCAATGCAAAGAAATTTGGCCACTTGTGCCATGAGGTAAGATATGCAGTTATGTACAATATTCCATACATTTTCCAAAAAGAATATTGTCTATAAGTTCCATGATGTTTACATAGCAATCTATGAAGATTGAAAACCAAGGCCCAATAACTGAAGATGGTGGTGTTTTGATGATGAAGTCCCTGCCTGAACCCTGGTGTTTTTTGTGGACTCTGAATTTGGTCTTCTAGGAGCTGCTGATGCTGTACAAATCTGCTTTTTGGTTTAGTTTCTGGAGAGTGTAATCTAGCTTGTGCCTTTTAGTTGTTCTGTTGTCAGAATATAACAGAATGCTAAGCTTGGCAATCCCTGCACTCCAGCAGAATCCCCTCCTTTTCTTTTCATTAGATTCTTGCTCTATTACTTTATACTACTGTGAATCTGTTTATTTGATGTTCAAAAGGAAATGACATCAATTCTATCTTGAAGGGAGAACATTTGTATTCAGTCCAACCTAAGTGCAACACTCAATAGAAAGCACACATAATTTTGCTGGAGCAGTAAACTGCAAAAATAAAATGACACTGCACTCGAATCTTCACCACTTTCTCGCTCATCTTTACACGTACCTGAAATCATTTTGTTTTAGACAAAGCGTACCTGAAATCTAGAAGAAATATCATCTCGCGAAAGCAAGGGAAATCTAGTAGCAACGAACTTGTCCTTTACTTTTCTTCCACTGCTCAAGATCCCTTGCTGCGATACCCTTCCATTAGCCCCCTCGAGCTGTCTTCTCTTCTGAATTGTTCTTCAAGGAAGGTAGAAAAGAATGCATAGTTTAGTAGACTGTTGACCCACAGAACAAATTTCTGGCACCTTTTTCTCCATGGATAATCCTTTGCAGCCGCAACATGCTCTGCAATCTGGGTTTGATCAGAGTAGTAGTATATATTGCACTTGTCTTGGCATGTTAGGCTCTGAACAATCTTAGGTTTTGGGGCAACGAGTGCAAGAACTGAACCAGAAGGAGGAGATCGGAAGCCGGGCGCCATGGCACGGATGCTGCTGCACGGGGTGATCGACGCCAAGATCGTGGAAGCAGACCTGTCCGTGACGTCAGATGGGCAGCTCAGGCCGTCCCGGAAGGTACGCTTAACGCTTCCTCCCAGCTAACTAGTTTCTTCCTGTATCTGAAAGATGGAAAGTACTATATGTTCAGGTGTTGTTTCCATCTGAATGTTCAGTGAGAGTGTGAATGTTTTGAGTTGGGGTTCTGAATGACAATATAGACAGACATGTCCTGCTGTTCTTTTTTGTTTTTGCAGTGAGAAAGGAAAAGGGAAACATTATCTGAATTCTTAGTGCAGCTTATCTTAAGACTAATGAAGTCAATGGGTTGGACTCCGATTGACATAATATTTTGCTCAAGAGGAATAGCACATGTGGCAGGCTCTGCCAAAAGAATACAATTTCCTGTTCCTGACTGAGCTTAGGAATTTTAGATCCTTAGACTATATACAAAAGGTTTGCATATAGTTGTATTAAGAGAAGGTAACCAGAGAAGCACCTAAGGTGGTGTTGTTGTGTCATGCATGTATGACGTCACCCACCAAGGTTTAAATCCTAATACTTATAAATATTATGCATACATGGTTGCGTATTTAATAAGAACTTAATGAGACAAATGATTTGTTGTCGTCTCCATCTCTTTTAGTATGTGTTAGGAGATATATTTATCTGTGTGAGAGTGTGATGTGGACGTGTAGAACTACGAAAAAGAACACGGGTCTTAACGCTTGAGGGAACAAACACAGCCAAACTACAAGTTGGCCGGGAGGCTATTTTGCGTAGAGGGGGAGGAAATGGAAGAGGACCTATCTCGAACATTGCTTTTCAACATGTCTAAATTTTACACGAATTTGATAGAAAAACATTCAATTCCATTTAAAATAAAACGAACATTCAATTGCTGTATTCCTCTGTGTTTTTTTCGGCCTCTTGGCCTTGTACTTTTGACACACCATTAATAACATGGTTAAGCGTAAAAAAAAAGTTATATCCAATTCATGTTATTATTGTGACATAATTGCATGGATTATGCTGCTGTGCAATTGTATGAATTTCATGTTAGATGAACTTCTTAGCATTCTAGTATATCGTCAAATCTGTTTTTAGAAGTTTCCAACACAGTTTGTATTGCATTTAAGAGAAAAGAAAATGCATAAAGGAGATAAAAATCAATCCTCGACTGATTAGAATCATCCTCATAAATGCAATAATAATGTATATTGAATTTCTTATAAGTTACTTCCTCCGGTCATAAATATTTGACGTTTGAAACAATATTCGATCAAAATTTTAAAATTTCAGTAATTAATATTACATTAGAATAAGTTTAAAAATCCAATAAATTAATAGTATTACTTTTTAAGATTGTTTTTAAACTACGGCTGTGTTTAGTTCCTTCAAACTTCCAAAATTCCATCACATCAAATGTTTGGACACATGCATAGAGTATTAGATGTGGACAAATAAACCAATTGCATGTAAATTGCGAGACAAATTTTTTGAGTCTAATTACACCATGATTTGACAATGTGGTGCTATAGTAAACATTTGCTAATAAATGATTAATTAGGCTTAATAAATTTGTCTCGCAGTTTACATGCGGAATTTGTAATTTGTTTTATTATTAGTCTATATTTAGTTCTTCAAATGTGTGTCCGTATACTTAAAAAAAAATTGACTGTGGAATTAAACACGGCCTACGTATTTGAGAAAACATTGATGGTCAGAATTTTAAAAGCATGACTGAATTATATCCTGAATGTCAAATATTTTTTACCCGAGCGAACATAAACCACCGTGAGCTGCGATATGATTCTCATTAGTCATTACAGTTTGAAAATGCAATCTAATTAACCAAACTGAAAATTTAAACACTTCAACCAGACTCTGATGAAGAAGAAGGTCTTCTCATGGATCAAGAAGAAGCTGCCCTTCTGCAACAGCTGCCAGGTTTAAGCTTGATCACAAACTAACCCTAATACTATAAGGCCATCAAATTAAGGCCAGTGTTGTATTGTATCTTAATGATTATATTAACGCGGCGGCGGCGGCGGTGCAGACGCAGCAGGTGGAGAACGCCGTCGGCCTCGGCCCGCTGTCCGGCAAGCTGTATGCGACGGTGGACATCGACAAGGCCCGCGTCGCGCGGACGCGCACGGTGGAGCCGACGGGCACGCCGCGGTGGAAGGAGTCGTTCCACATCTACTGCGCGCACTACGCCGGCGACGTCATCTTCACCGTCAAGGCCGAGAACCCCGTCGGCGCCACGCTCATCGGCCGCGCCTACCTCCCCGTCGACGAGGGCCTCGCCGCCGGTGCGCCGGTGTCCGACCTGTGGCTCCCCATCTGCGGCGAGGGCCGCCGCCCGATCGACGGCGGGGACAAGATACGCGTCCAGCTCCGGTTCACCGGCGTCGCCGCCGACCCGGCGGCGCGCTGGGGCGCCGGCGTCGGGAGCGGCGCGTACCAGGGCGTGCCGCGCACCTTCTTCCCGCAGCGCCGCGGGTGCCGCGTCAGGCTGTACCAGGACGCGCACATCGCCGACGGCTTCGCGCCGCGCATCCAGCTCGCCGGGCGCAGGTGGTACGAGCCGCGGCGGTGCTGGGAGGACGTGTTCGACGCGATCAGCAGCGCCCGGAGGATGGTGTACGTCGCCGGGTGGTCCGTCAACACCGACGTCGTGCTGGTGCGGCGGCCGTCGTCGTCGTCGGAGACGCTCGGCGAGCTGCTCAAGAGGAAGGCCGAGCAGGGCGTGATGGTGCTGCTGCTGGTGTGGAACGACCGGACGTCGGTGGGTCTCGGCCCGATCCGCCGCGACGGGCTGATGGCGACGCACGACCAGGACACGGCGAGGTACTTCGAGGGCACCAAGGTCCACTGCGTCCTCTGCCCCCGGAACCCCGACCAGGGCCGGAGCTACGTGCAGGACGTCGAGACGGCCACCATGTTCACGCACCACCAGAAGACGGTGATCGTCGACGGCGGCGGCGGGAAGACGGCGCCGGGCCTCGTGAGCTTCCTCGGCGGCATCGACCTGTGCGACGGGAGGTACGACACGCAGGAGCACCCGCTGTTCCGGACGCTCGACACCACCCACCGCGGCGACTTCCACCAGCCCAACTTCCCCGGCGCGTCCATCGCCAAGGGCGGGCCGAGGGAGCCATGGCACGACATCCACTGCCGCGTCGAGGGCCCCGCGGCCTGGGACGTGCTCGACAACTTCGAGCAGCGGTGGCGCAAGCAGGCCGGCAGGGGCAAGGACAGCCTTCTGGTCACCCTCGACCGGAGCATGGCCGCGCGCGACGCCGACCAGGCCGACCCGGAGCACTGGAACGTGCAGGTGTTCCGCTCCATCGACGGCGGCGCGGCGGCGGGGTTCCCGGAGAGCCCCGACGAGGCCGCGGCGGCGGGGCTGGTGTCCGGCAAGGACCAGGTGATCGAGCGCAGCATCCAGGACGCGTACATCCACGCGATCCGGCGCGCCCGCGACTTCATCTACGTCGAGAACCAGTACTTCCTGGGGAGCTCGTACGCGTGGCGCGGCGGCAAGGGCGGCGTGGCGAGCGTGGAGGGGATCAACGCGCTGCACCTGGTCCCGAGGGAGCTCTCCCTCAAGATCGCGAGCAAGATCGCCGCCGGCGAGCGGTTCGCCGTGTACGTGGTGGTGCCGATGTGGCCGGAGGGCGTGCCGGAGAGCGACTCCGTGCAGGCCATCCTGGACTGGCAGCGGCGCACCATGGAGATGATGTACAGGGACGTGGACGCCGCCATCCAGGCCAAGGGGATCCGCGCCGACCCCACCGACTACCTCAACTTCTTCTGCCTCGGCAACCGCGAGCGCCTCCCCGTCCCCGGCGGGTACAGCTACGAGCCAACGGAGCGCCCCGACCCCGACACCGACTACATGAGGGCGCAGAACGCCCGCCGCTTCATGATCTACGTCCACGCCAAGACGATGATAGGTAATACGGGGTACTCCCTCCATTCTCCTTCCTTCGTTTCACAATGAATCTAGATAGACCGATTCATTAACATTAATATTGAAAATATTAAAATAACTTATATTGTGAAACAAAGGGAGTAAAATATAATTATTTTTAAAGTTTTACACGATCTTTGAGATAATAATTTGATAAAAATATTTGCAATAGTAAAATGTTTTAAATAAACAAAGTTGTATATTATGACAGTTCGTTTAACGATAAATATAGTAATATCAAATTCATATAATTAATCTTTTTTAATTTTTGTTATTAATATTTAAAATTTAAAATGTTTTACTTATTACTATTCTTAAAATGATGTTTATATTTTGCAACGGATGGAGTAATCAATTGACAATCTTAATCAATCTAAGAACATGTCGTCGTGATGCTCTGTTTCTGTTCGATCTATTTGTAGTGGACGACGAGTACATCATCGTGGGGTCGGCGAACATCAACCAGAGGTCGATGGACGGCGGGCGGGACACGGAGATCGCGATGGGCGCGTACCAGCCGAGCCACCTGGCGTCGGTGAACCGGCCGGCGAGGGGCCAGGTGCACGGCTTCCGCCTCGCGCTGTGGCACGAGCACCTGGGCAGGGCGGCTGCGGCGTCGGCCGCCGGCGAACTCCTCCGGCCGTCGAGCCTGGCGAGCGTGAGGCTCGTGAACCAGGCGGCGCGGCGCCACTGGGACGCGTTCGCGAGAGGCGACGGCGACGGCGCGCCGCCGACGGAAGACCTCCCGGGCCACCTGATGGCGTACCCGGTGCGCTGGACGGGCTGCGGCGGCAGCGACGGCAGCGACGGCAGCGACGGCAAGCTCGTCGCGGCGACGGAGACGTTCCCGGACACCAAGGCGAAGGTGCTGGGTGCCAAGTCTGACGTGCTCCCGCCCATCCTCACCACATGAGGATGAGGAAGTCCCCATGCGTCGTCATGCTGTGCTTGCTGAGTGCAGAAATGTTCGTTTACGTGCAATGCAAGGTGGTTGTGAACTTACAAGTGTACATGCTGTATCAGGCTCTAAACGTCAAACAAACGTGCATGTTTCGATTGTGATCAATTGCTCAAATTCTTCACTTGTAAATAAATACTCCCTCCATACCATAATGTTTTAAACTAACTAACATCAAACAGAAAAACGAGCAAGGCAATCATGCTTTGCGTGAATAAAAGTGAAATAGCTGTAAAAAAAATAAAAGTGAAATAATTTTTATTAACCAATTTTGTCGATTCCATCTAAAGGTTATATAGATTTATTATTATAGTATAAGGTTTCATCAAAATTTATCTATAACCATGCATGTTCAGAAAAATTTAGCAACATGTTCAAATACGACATAGATAAAATAAAAATGAATGGTGAATTGCAGTTTGGGCTCTCTTTTATTGGTGAAGTTTCACTTCATATCATCTTACCTAGTCTTTTCACTTTGAACTAGATAATTTTGTCTTTTTTACGTTATGGATGACAACCCCAACTATATGTACCGTAGCAACATATAACGAATTCCCCACACTATTGTTGCAGCAAACTAAAACATGTCGCTAATGTTGTAGCAAACTGATAGTTTTATCACTAAAGTTGCAGTTTTCTGAAATTTACTCTTTTTTAAATTCTAATAACACATAAGCACCACGTGGGATGAAGACCGGGTTAACACCGTCACGTCAGCGCCACTTCAGTAAAACCGTCCTCCAAAACCGCTGGAGGAGTCAAATTACACTGGTTGTAGTAGTTCGAGGAATCGTCCTATCCGGTTTTCTAGTTGAGGGGCACTTATTAGATTTGGCCTATCTTTCAAGGGAGTCAAAGTGAACTTTTTCCTTTTCCAAATACTCATGTTTGACCCAACATACCAATTCTCTCACCACCAATGTTTCTGTCTGCAACTCTGCATCGCACACTACCTCCATATGGTTGGTATTCATATGGTATTTGAACAACGCTTCCTATTCAATTCTATACTAGGACACTCCTCACTACATACAAAAAAAAAGAAGAAAAATGGAAACACCACATCAGATCAGTACAATGCTCTCCTCCCGCCGCCTCCATCGCCGAGGACCAGCATCAATGAGCTGAAGCAGATTCTTTTTTTTTAACGACTCGCACAAGACGGTGCAAAGTTCTATTGATAGAGCAGAAAAAAAATTATAAGATTACAACCCTTGAGGGTCGTAACCAGAAAAAAGAAAAAAATTATACCACCACCCACACATCGATAGCCACCAATAGACCGTACCAGGAGAAGGCTAGCACCGGACCGGCCGCTGCTAAGCGTGACCGACCACCGCTAGGCTAACAAAGAAACACGGCCGAGATCGCCCAAAACCCAACCCTTACAATCAACACAAAGCCCCGCTCTATCCAAGTCTTCAGGAGTTGAGGAGAGAGAGTGAGAGAGAAAAATGGAACTCCTCACCCCCTAGGCCCTCCGACGTGGCCAACTTGTAGAGACTAGGTCACCGCCACAAGAGGATGAAATCTAGAGTGAGTTTGCACCAATTGGTTGGGGGGTTTCGACTAGAGGATACCTAAACGACGTCTCCGAGGAGAGGAACGACGGAAAATACCGCCGCCGCCGTCCGTCAAGGTCTAAAAGGGAACCGAGACTGGGCTTTCACCTGGCATCCACACATAAGGGATAAGACGGCACGACAACGCCCTCAGGAGGGGAATGACGCTTCTAGCGTCATTGTTGCTGGCCCGGCCTAGGCTGGGCTGGGTTTTCACTCGCCGCTCACCACCTGTGAGTCCACGGCTAGCGCCCCAATGCTCCACCGCCGTCCATCCTCTACCGACATATGGGACCACTGCACCGGCACCCCTCCACCGGCCAGCCTTCGTGCATCGTAGACCGCACCGCACTCACTGGCAGCTCCTCCTCCTTGTACCGTGCCCGCCCCCGTCACCGCAGGCCGCGCCTCACCACGCCAGGCCAGCCTCGTCCACCGCCGGCCGCGCCTCCTCGCGCCAGGCCGGCCTCCCGCCGCCGGCCACGCCTCCACACACCACGCCAGCCTCCCGCCGCCAGCTGCGGCTCCTCGCGTCGTGCCGAGCTCCGCTGCCACCGCCTGTGCGTCTATGCGCCAAGCTAGCCTCCGAGCACTCCTCCTGCCGCTGCCGTGCCGGCTAACTGCGGTCGTCTGCCATGCCTCCCAGCTAGCCGCCCGTGGCCGTTCGTGCCTCCTCTCGCAATCGTCGTCGCTAAAGTATCTAGGCCATCGTTGTTAATTTTAGTAATTAATGACAAGCGCTAATTATGGACTAACCATTCTATTGAGCTATACATTTTAAGTTAGATTCAGATTATGTGTGCGCATGGATGACTACCAATGGATTAAAATTTGGTGGCGCAAAGCGAAGAGAAAAAAGACGGTAAACTAGTGTTTTAATTCTAAATTGATCGAGGTGTTGGGCGATTAAATTTGCTAATTTATTTTTAGCTTCGCCGTACTACTAAGAGGGGTAATGACATAGAAAAAGATGATTTAAATTGCCACATTAGATCATTTGCATTTAGAATCAAATTTCATTGCTATCTCTTGTTGTCACCGGTCTGGGTGACCAGGGCCGGTCTGACCGCTGCCCAAGTGCCGGTCTGACCGGCTGGTGTAGCCGGTTTGACCGCCGCCTCAAGTGTCAATCTGACCGGCCGGACTAGCCGGTCTGACCGCCGCCTCAGAGCCGGTCTGACCGGTAGGTGTTGGCCGGTTTGACCGGCCGATCATATGCCCTGGGTGGTGTGCTCTAGGGTGGCCGATCCAGAGCCGCCAGAGCCGAGGTCGGTCAGACCAAGCCGATGGCGGTCTGACCGAGCCAAGGCCGGTCTGACCGGCCGCCCCATGACTGTCTGACCGGCCGGGCCAATGGGGCCCAATGTCAGGCCTACAACGGCTTTTTAGCCGTTGTAGAGTAGCACAATCTGACTGGCCACACACCTCCGGTCAGACCGGCAGTACACCGAGTTGGGGGATTTCGCCCCCAATGTCTAGTTTTGGTGGGTGGGAGTATAAATACTCCCCCACCAGCAGCAAGGGGACTCTCTTTGCACCCACTTCAATTGCACCTCTCCCACACTCATTTGAGCTTAGTGTTCATCCACTTAGTGTGTTTGAGGATTGTCTAGCTAAGAGTCAAGTGCATTTGCTTTCATTTGTAGAGCTAGTGTGGCACTTGATCATCTCCGAGCCGGGTCATCGCTTGTTACTCTTGGAGGTTGCCGCCTCCTAGATGGCTCTTGGAGGAGTTGCCCGGTGACCTCTCCAAGAAGATTGTGAAGGAGGCCCGACGCCGGTTGTGAGTGGTTTGGAGTTCACCACCTTTTGAGTGAAGGAAGAACTACCCTGAGTGATCGAGGCTTGGGTAGTCCTCTCCGTGGGCTGGCTCCCGCCTTGCCTACTCCTTGACGAAGGGGGTGTGTGGTGACTTCGTGGTTGAGCGGTGGAGTTGGGCTCGCCTCAATGGGGAGTAGGAAACCGACGAGTTTCCGAACCTCAGTGAAAAATTCCTTGTCTCATTGTTTCTTTTATTTGTCGCATTTACATTTGTGCAATTTACATTCCTAGAGACATACTTGAGCTCATATCACCCTAGGATTGCTAAACTTGATTTAGGAGTGTGATTTACTTTCCTAGAGACATACATGAGCCACTATCACCCTAGGTTTATAAAATATAACTTAGTTGCTTAGTTAGACTTAAACCATCACCGAGCTTAGCAACTTAGGTTAGTTTTGATTAGGTGTCATTTAGTTTTTTATATCGCCTATTCACCCCCCCTCTAGTCGACATCTCGATCCTACAGTCGCTCGTTTCCAATCATCGACACTGTGTCCACACCTTCCCTGCCTCCACATGCTGCCTCAGTCACCGCCGCCGCCACCACAGGCGCTGTCGCGGCTGCCACAACCACCATTGCCGTCGCCAGCCGCCATAGACGCCGCTGTCACCGCCGCCGACAGCAACGCCTCCAGCCGCTCCTACTGACGGTTGTCGCCACCGTCGCCGCGGGCCTCGCACCACCATCGCTGCCACGACGGGCGCTCCTGCCACGAGCTCGCCCTGTTGCCGCTGCGAGCTCCGCCACCCCCGCCATGAGTTCGGTCGATTTGGCCATCGGGTGGCCAGATCCGCCTCCGGGTGGGGGCGGGGCGGATCCGCTTCCACCGCGGCTGGATCCGACGCGCCATTGACGTCCCCGCCACCGTCGAGCCGTGCCCCTACCATCGTCGTCGCCATCCCCGCCGCCGTCCTGGGATGCTCCCCTAGCCGCCCAAAACGATGCTAAGTCGGCGAGAAACGAGAAACGATGCTAAGTCAGGCGGCGGCGAGGCGGAGGAGGAAGATGGGGGGAAGGGATGGCCAAAGTTCGTCGCCTCCCATGCCGCCCCGTGTGGAGGGCGACGCGAGAGCAAGTTATTTCACCCACAGCTAAAGCGGATTCATGGTAGAACGTGATATGATTGTACTGCATGCTCAATTGTTCTGGTCCATAGAAAAAAATAGTAGCTATAGATTAATAAACATATTCTTAAGATTTCTATACAAATATATACTTATACTACTTATAACTACTCCCTCCGTCCGGTTATAAAACCAGCCTTGAAATCAACATCGGTAGCAAAACACGGAAGAAACGCCATAGGAGATCCAAACATGATGACGACACCGGGACACAATATTTGGTAATGGAGTTCAGCCGAGGCCTATATCTCCGGGGCATTGATTACGGGCGCTCCTCCCCGATCGAGCATATACAGCTTATCAGAGTTACAACGACTCACGGCCGGTCGCCGCCAACAGATGCTCCTTCTTGCTATGCTAAGTCGTCATGCGGTTACAACAGTCACGCCCCTCTATTAATGAGAGATCCTATGATAGAGTACAACTCATACTCTATTCCTAATACCTATTACAACTCTAAGTCCTAAACTGTAATCGATATTGTACACATATTCGACACAAACTCTAACAACCCGAGCACCACGTCTGGTCATCTCCAATCGATTACGGGTGCTCCTCTCCAATCCAGCATATACAGCTTATCAGAGTTACAACGACTCAACGCCGGTCGTTGTCGGTCGCCGCTCCTTCTTGCTATGCTAAGTTGCCATACGGTTACAACAGACACGCATACTTTATGAGAGATCTTACGATAGAGTCCGACTCATACTCTAGTCCTAATACCTATTATTACAACTCTAAGTTCTAAACTATAACCGACTTTATACACATATTGGATACAAACTCTAACACATCTCATTATGTAGCAACTTAGGATGGGATTAGACCCTGATGGCCCGTAATAACAAGGCTCCTGCAGCCTGCAGGAAGGGCCGGAAACGCCACGCCCACGCGACGGGGGATCCTAATGGGCGATCGACCCCCCGGAGACGGGGGGTAGCGATCGATCCCCTCCCCCCTCCCTCCCTCCACCCCTCCACTGGTTTCCTTTTTTGGCACCGCATTACTTTCCTATTTTAGAAAATTTATACACTTAAAGTTTATACACCTCAAGTTTACACATCTAAAGTTTAGAGACCAAAAGTTTATAAGTCAAAAGTTTATATATCCGATTCAAATTTGAATTTGAATTTAAATATTTTTTTATGTATAGTATTTCTATACATCTAAAGTTTATATACCTAAAGTTTATAAGTCAAAAGTTTACATACCCGATTCAAATTTGAATTTAAATTTTTTATATATAGTATTTCTATACATAATTTTTGCTATCGTTTTGTTTTTTTAAAAAAATTTGTGTGGTGTAATGTAATAGGAAGAGAAGAAGGGGAGGAGTGTATCGTATAAGGGAGGGGGCGGTGGTGATCGCTCGGCGGACGGGGGAGCGATCACCCGCCCGTTAGCATTCTCGCACGCGACGGTCAACGCGCTGCGCAGCGAGTGAGCATTCCCCTTCCCCGTCTCCGCATAATTTCCCCGCAATAATAATACTGATCCCCACCCCAGCACACACACCCGCACCAGCGACACCACCGGAAGAAAAAAGGAGGCGAAGAGAGCGAGACAGAGATAGGCAAGCAGGCAGGCCGCACGCGCGCGTGGGGGACGAAGCGGAGCAGTTGATCCAACACCCACCCAGCCAGCCAGCACCGCGTGCCGTGCCGCCGTGCGCGCGCCGTAGCTAGAGTGCGTGCTGTGTGGTGGTGGGGTGGGGGCGCCCGCCCGCGATCGGCGTGGCTGATTCGTACGGAGAGATCCGCACTCCGCATCGCCCCTACTCCAACTACCCGTCGCTCCGCTCGCTCGTCGCGCATCCGCATGCAGAAAGCTGCCTACCACCGCTGCACCCTGCACGTACGCTTCCCTCCCTCCCACACGCCTACTCCTCCCACTCCATGGCCATGCACGCCACCCACTACTACTTCGCAAGTCGCAACCCAAAAAAAAGCAGCAGGCAGCAGCAGCAACTCTCAGCCCTTCGCCATCCTGCCCGTGCAATCAAGTGAAAACGAACCCCATGCCCACGCGTGGGATGCCTGCCCTATCATGCTGTCAACGACGCCCGCTGGGCCCACCCGCCCGGAAAGAAAGAGAGCCCCGCGTCCCCCGTTCCAACCAACCAAAATCCTAAAACACCCTGAAAAACGAAACGAAATCAATCCCCCTCTCTCCATGGTGGCCCCTGCACCTTGCACACACTTTCTAGTTGTTGTTGTTGTACTACTGCTACAGGTATAGTACAACAGCATTCCATGTTACCACGGCTTCTCTTACTTCTTACTACTACATGTATGTATACCAGCCTAGGCCTACATGTATGTATACTACCAGCGTAAAGTCGAATCATTGAGATACAGGTATCATCACAACGCGTAAAAAGAGTTTAAAGTAGCGGGGGATCAAACACAAACACAAACACATGCAGTATTCATACATAGGAGTACAGTATACAGTAGCATATATGTATAGTACTAGTAGAAAGGCAGAAAAAGCGCGAGGGACGACGCCATCACGCACACTCTGCTAGCTACACACGCCACCATACAAACACACACAAGGAGCCCGAACTAACCTCGGGCGCGGCCCCGCCATCTCATCTCTCAACCTTTGGGGGTCAAAAAGCCATCGACGCATGCAGCACCAGGCCACCAGCACTGCACTTTGCATGGACTTCATTCATTCATTCCTCCTTCCTTCCTTTGCTTTGGATCACACCACAATGGAGGGGAGAAAAAAGATCTTTATAGCTTAGCCTCCCTGTTTTACTTATTGCGCCATCAACGCCATGAGAGCCTTTTTTTATGAGAGGGAGGAGGTGCCTACCAAGAGGCACTGCACTGAACTGACCCAGAAGAAAGATGTGACACCGGCTTGCTGCTAGGTAGTACTCTCCATCAGTGGATGGATGGATGAAGGTGCAGTGGTCGGTGATTCACTAGTAATATACTGCAATACTGAATCTTCATTGTAACCACTCAAATCATTGGACCCTTGTAAGCAAAGCACCATTGAGCTTTCACTCCAGTAGTCCTCAGAATCACCGAATGGAACTGACTGAGTTTCATTTCACCTTATTGCTGCTATAGTTTTAGCTCATTACTTGTATATATGGAGAGAGGGATAGGTATTGGGTTCAGGAACCAGAACAGAACCGTCATCGATCGAGGAGCTAGAGGGAAACAGCTCCCAGTGTCTTGACCTTGAGCTTTAGATACTTGAGATAGCATATCGCTTCATCAAGAACGGCTGTGGCATCTTTGGCAATGCCTCCAGGAACTATCTTTCTGAGTGCAGCAACAGTCTCTTGGATCCTCTCTCTTCTCCGCTTCCGATCATCGGGGCCATCATCACCTTCTGCTTCTTCACCTTCCCTCAGAGCAAACTGGTGATCGCTTTCCACTTCACCAATACAACACGACTGTGCGTCGTCGTCATGGCTGAGATGTTTCTGATCAACGGAGTGGTCAGGCCTTGCTGAGCTGGCTGTGTCAACCACAGATCTGTCGGTACCAGAGCTTAGTCTTCTTTTCTTTGCTGGTTGGGAAGCACCAGCGCTTGCTACCGACTCCACACTCATGGTGTCATTCTGCATTGGGTATTTCCTGACTCTGTTGTTGAGTTCTTGCACTTTCAAGCACCCTTCATCTGAGTCGGAACACAGGAGTGCATCAATCTCCTCAGTATTCTCATGCATACACTCAGTATTTTGTGCTCCAACATCAGTTACATTGGTCTCATTGCTACCTTGGAGCTCTGGAACTGTATCCAATGTCCCCTTGCTCAGGAGAGGACCTACAGTGAAGGTATTATTCACATTATGAAAGAAAACCAGAGGTCTCTTTCTCAGTGTCTCAGCTGTTGATAAGCCTACACTGGGTACCAATGTTGTGACAAATCTAGAAGAGAATGAAACAGGTCTGTCAGTAACTGATGCTGCAATAGACGGCATAGATGCAGCAACTCCAGAATAAATGTAGCCATCGCTGTTCAGATATGTTGGCAACGCCACTGAATTTGTGTTGTCGAGGCTAACATCGGGTGGGTGGAGATTGTTTGCAGAGCTCTCGGTCCATGGGGGATTAGACCAATGGCACCAGGGATTAACCTTCTCCCCCATCAAGAAACAACCAGCAAACAGGATCTTCTGAAATTGCAAAAAAAAAAAAAAACTGATTATTAATCTACCCATAATTGAAAACAGATAGGTACACATGATGATGAAAAAGAGATTCTTACCACCAGAAAATTGAGATGAACAGGAAATTCTCCTGCTTTACTTTTGCTTCAGAAAAACTTAGAGCAGCACAGGTTCTATTCAACAGCAAATGGAAGGGAGGGAGTCGAACTACGTCACGGGCTTAAGAAGATGGCGGAAGTACTCGGCCTGCAACAAGCATATCAAATCAATGTTAGAATTGTTCAGAGCAAAGAAAAGCAAGCCTTAAAAAGGTCACTTGTTTCTACATTACCTGGCAATCTTGGGATGGCTGGAAGCAAGCTATAACTCTCACAGCGATTCCATTCTCATGTTTAAACACGCGGAATCTCGTCTGAGCCACCGGTTGCCACACCATTAGTACTCCTGCCCGTTCTCCTTGAAAGAATTGCCAGGCAACCACAGAAACCCAAACAGCAATGCCAGCAACCAGATCTTCAATCCCAAACTTCAGAGACTAGAAGATCAGGATTGGAGTAGAGCAATAATGGAGGCAATTTACAGAATAACCCGGCAGTACAGGTTCAAGGAGATCCCTTTGCGGAAGATGTCTACCGAGAGAGCCAGCCACCGCATGCTGCCAGGGTACCCGTGCTAGTTTCAGCTCCTCAGACCCTCAACACTAGAATTACCTGCATTAAGAGGAAAATTTGGTTAGCTGAATAGTTTCTGTAAACATGCCATGCAGCAAACCTAATACAGGATGTTTATGTCAAACTCCTGCCTGGTAACATAAATCGATGCAGTCAAACATTTGGGCAAGAATGTAAGCACTACACTCAAATTCCAGCTCCCATTAGTTAAGTGAAATTGGTGGATAAGATTACAAGATATCTCTGAACCTCCTAACTTAACTAATAACATAGTAAATTCCTAAAACATTCCAGATTAAAAAAAAACTAACTAGGCCTAAATTTACAAAAGAAAACAGAAGAGGGAAAGATATGCTCGGCATTGTTAACGTGGGCACAACGTAAATCCTTATGCACAAGCATCCATCTAAATGAAAACCACCTCAAGCTCCAAAGTTTCCCCAAGATGTGATTTTGACAATGAAATCGGTATCAATGTAGCTACTTCACACACCATATTCGACCTGACTACAAGAAACCACAAATCTAGCTCCGGAAACCAGAAAAGGGAAGAAGCAGAGCCTCCAAAAGAGAAAAGGGAAGAAGCAAATTTGGTCGTTTGACCGGACTTCAGCATGCAAATATCCCCTGTATGAGCCAAGAAACAAAACTTCCCCAGTTTCTTTGTTTTGTTCTTTTTTTACCTAGCGAGGAACATCTTAAAATCTCCAAAAACACCAACCGATTTGACACCATCCGGACTCAACAACACAACAGTTATTACAGTATACACAGAATACATACCACTAACACTTACTACACAAACCTCTTTTATCCATGGGGAAGAAGACCGAAAGTATCCGAGCGGCTGAAGAACTCTACCCGCAGCGACAGACAACGCGAGACACGTCGATACAGAATCAGAACCAAACTAGCCCACGAATCTTTACGAGAAGAACATCACGGGGTCGATCGAGCAGAGCACCACATCCCCACCCAACCAAGAAAAACAAATCAAGCACTCACCAGATCGAGCAGGATGAGGAGGAGGAGGACGACGAATCGGCGATAGGAGCTGAGCACTCACACACCCGCCCGGGCCAAAGCCGAAGGAATTGAAGGGGAGGCCGACCGCGGCGCGTGCTGTTGCTCACGAGAGAGAGCCGCACGGCGAGACCGAGACGAGGACGAGAGAGAGAGAGAGAGAGAGAGACAGCGAGAGCGTGCGCCGCGGCGCGGCTTCTCTTATCGGCCCCCTCGGACGGAAATGCCCCTGCGGCGCCGCGTGCGCGTTCGTTCACGCCTTCCTCCGACTCATCACTCCCTCGACCTCTCGCTTTCACCTATAGCGTGGGGCCCACAGAAAGAGAGAGAGAGATAGAGGATAGGACTCGCCTTTTTACTCGCCATCTTTTTCTGATTTTTTCCCCTTCTCTCCTCCTCTTTTACTACTACTCCGTACCATACCTGTAGTGTCATCTTTTTCTTTTTCTTTTTTTTTTGATCGAGCCACTGGTTGGTGCCATGGTGTGTGTGCTGCGTGCATGCATGCACTGCATAGCACAAGGAGATGTTGTTCAGTTGTTGGATCCTGACATGGAATGGAATGGAAGGGAGGAAGAAACCCTGCTGGTTAAGCAAAGCTCCTCTCTCTCACCTTTCAAAAGCGGTTCAAGAGATGATCTTTTGGGTGTTGAAGAGAAGGTAGTGCTTTTGTTTTTTTAGGGGTGTGTTAATTGGTCGGGAGGAAGCGGCAAATCATGGTTGAGAGAGCATTACTGGGGCTGCATGCACCATATATGCCATTTGGTTGGAGTGTACAGATGAGAAATGGATAAAGGAATTAATTATGATGGACAAATTTTCCCTCCCTCCGGATTCCTAACATTATCACAAACATCAATTAGAAATTTCTTACTCTCTCTCTCTCTCCTAAAATATATAGGCTCTTTATATTCATAGTTAAAAGTAGTACAGAGGGGGTCAGAATATATGGGTTCGCTACAAAATTATATGGAAAATGTTTTTGGAAATAACATAAAGAGTCCGAGTGAAATATAATTGAAAAAAATAGTAAGTTTGTCACCATCCTGCTCAGCAACCGCCGAATGTCCATTGTCCGAACTCTCCAGCAGCATATTCACTAACCAATTTACTGATTAGTGCCGATTTTTCTACTTTATACTCCCCTCCATCTATTTTTATAGTCATATTTTCAAATCTGAAAAATTTATTTTTGATAGGTATATTTCAATTTAACAACCTATCATCTTAATGACTTTCTCGGATTTAATGCATGACTCTCCATTCTTACACACAAGATTGGCTACATGGGCATCGAGAAATGTAAATATTAATGAATCGCTTGTTTACGAGGAATGACTAGGACTCCCTCCATTCTAAATTGATCTACATATTTCATAGGTACACCAAGACCAAGAAAAGCTAAGAACACCCACAATGGTAAAGTAAGGTGCTCTCTATAAAACATGTACATCTCAGCAATAAACTAGATTAATAGTAAACCACATCAATAGTATGTCTACATGGGTATCTATAGCTCTCTAATACATTGCCTCGTTTTTTTCTATAGACTATCTCCAGGTTAGTAGATAGCTTTGTTCTCTCTCTTCATTTAATCTCTTCTAAGTAGGAAAATATGCTGACATAGATCTCTTATAGAGAGTCTATAGATAACCATTGCGGGTGCCCTAATAACTCTCTCATACTATATTTACTCTAGCAACAAACTTAATGCATACACCATCCCCAATATTTCCTAGCCAATAACAAATCAAGATATTGCATGTGGGTTATAAATACTTGTGTGCATGGATGCATGTATCAATGTCTATTTACTCCAATGCACAAATAACGAATAAACTCTAATAAATAAACACTTTGTAGATCATTTAGGAATAATCTAAAAAAATCATATGTAGATCAATTTGGAATGGAGGGAGTACTAACTAAATAGTTTTATATCAAAATAAACACACATGCCATGCAACTTATTTCGGTAAAATTTCGCAGTCGCCGCCGCCTCCGATTGAGGAGGAGAAGCAAGGCGGCGGCACCGGTTGGGGAAGAGAAGCATCGCGGCAACGGCAGCGGTGGCTTCGATCGAGTGATTCACGGTTGTACAGTCTTAGGTTTCCAAATAGGTAGTGGTAAAAGTACTACTTTACCTCCCGCGTCCAATTTTTTTAAGACAATTATGCCCCCATCTACGTTTCTACTACCGTCAAATGATATGCTAGTGTAAATAGGGGCATGTTTGATAGAGTTCCAACTCCTAAATTTAGCTCTGGGAGTTGGGTTTGAAATAGAGTTGTCTAAACCCAACTCCACCTCTCCAGTTCATTTTGTGATATAGTTACATCTCCGCTCCCATTTTAAGTGGAGCTGAGCTGGAGCTAGAGTTATGCCAAACATGCCCTAGATCTTAACCATTGCATAGGATTAGATTGATGATTTAGATCATTTTCTATTACCAATAGAGAACATCGTAACGAGGCTCAAACGTTTTAGGGCACGATAGAGGAGAGCACCGACCGTGCATCATTTTCAATTACAGATGATTGGAAAGAGTCATAGCAAGCGGTAGAGTTTTCAAGCGTATATATAGGCGTTTATATGCCAAAGAGTAGCGGCAGAAGTCGCGGAATGTAGGTGACAAAATTCCTTTGTTTTGCCATTTTGGAGACGGGATACAGTATATATTTGTTTATCAATTGTATATACTAGTATTTGTTTGTCAAAATCAAAATAAAATGCTAGTACACTGCTAGTACCTAGCAGTAGCTAGTTAGCTCTAGCTAGGTGCTAGGAGCACTACACTTCGGCGTGGGTGGCATGAAGTCGGAGGCAAGTTTCCGTAGGCGGAGGCACCAAACACACGCGGCGCCGGCGGCAGTGGACGACTCGATGATGGATCGAGCACACACGCATGCACACATACATCTCGTTCCTTTCATTCTTCCAATTACATGTAGTACTGGTACGCTCTAGCTAGCATAGCTTCCACGCGTGCACGATGCATGCATGCGCATGGAATTGGAATCTTCTGAGAGCAGGAGATGAATGGATGCATGTATGTCTGAATTATTGCTCACTTGATTTTTCACACACTACTGCACACTTAGTAAAAAAAAAGACAACTTTTAGAAATGAATCTAGATAAATGTTTATCCAAGTTTATCTCTCGAAGTTAATTTTTAATGGGACGGAGGGAGTATTTCAGTGGAACGGTATATATTAGCAAGGAATGCGACTAGTACTGTTTAGTTCCCGAAAACTTTTTTCCAAAAACATCACATCGAATCTTTGGATACATGTATTGAGTATTAAATATAGATAAATTTAAAAACTAATTGCACAGTTAGGGAAGAAATCGCGAGACGAATCTTTTGAGCCTAATTAGTTCATGATTAGCCATAAGTGCTACAGTAACCCACATATGCTAATGACGGATTAATTAGGCTCAAAAGATTCGTCTCGCGGTTTCCAGACGAGTTATGAAATTAATTTTTTTATTCGTGTCCGAAAACTCTTTTCGATATCCGATCAAACGTCCGATGTGACACCGAAAAATTTCCTTTTCGCGAACTAAACAGGCCCTGAATTAGCAGCTAGCTAGCTGATCGATCCTCACTTTGTTGACCTTTAATGTACGGGAACAGTTGAAGATGAACAAGAAAGAAGAGACGTGTGGGTACCCTTGGCTTGATGCTGTGCATGGCGTCGTCAGAATAATTGAGCCGCATGCGAAGCCGATCGATAGAGGAAAGGGGAAAGCTAGCTACTCTGATCCATATATACTACTACAGGAGTACTGGAAAGATGGGCGTGCAGAGCCCAGTAGGTAGCTAGCACGCGTGCCGTGCTGTGCTCGCTCCCTGCCACTCTCTCCCAGGACCATGCATATGCAATACTAGTGTCGTCGTGATGATAGATAGGAGTATATGCCATGGGAGAAGAAGGTAGTACAACTGTACAAGAGAGATCGGTGCTGGGAGCTGGCTGGCTGGGTACAAGAAAACAACCACATTCTTCCTCAAGGGAGAGCTAAGCTAAAGCAGCACCAGCTCTAGCCCCAACCAAACCAAAAAGAAACCCAAAGAAAGAAAACCCCTCTCTCTCTCTCTCTCTCTATATATATATATATATATATATATATAGAGAGAGAGAGAGAGAGAGACTCACTAGTATGTACTGTACTCCCTCCGTTACAGAATATAGCAACCTATATCCGGATAGAACTTTTCCCAGTACTATAGATTTATAGTACTAGAAAATATTCTAGGATAATATTCTAGGATATGTTGCTATATTTTGGAACGTATTCTGAAACGGTGGGAGTATTATGTTTGTTTGTGTGCAATGCATGAACTGCCGCAGGAAAAGAAAAGGGAGTTGAAGAGAAAAAGAAAAAGGCCTATCTATATAAATGCTCCTCCATTCATGGCTGCAGGTGGCCAATAAAGCCATGAGCATTTTGTATGCTTGCCCCCATGGCCGCTTTTGGACCTGACACATATATATGACATACTACTATGGATCATGGAAGCATGCAATGGATGGTGCCACCGACGAGCCCCCACGCCCCGCCTGTACGTACCAACTTCTCGCGTGCCAGTGAGGGCTCACTTCACTTCACCTCCCACTCCATCTTTGCAAATGTTTAGTGCAGTGCCAATAGAATACTCCCTCCGCCCACAATATAAGAGATCTTGAGTTTTTACTTGCAACGTTTGACCACTCATCTTATTCAAATTTTTTTTATAAATATAAAAAACGAAAAGTTGTGTTTAAAGTACTGCAGATAATAAATTAAGTCACAAATAAAAGAAATAATAATTTTAAATTTTTTTGAATAAGATGAGTGGTCAAACGTTGTAAACAAAAACTTAAAATCCCATATTATGAGACGGAGAGAGTAGCATCCTAGCTAGACTACCGCTTCCTCAGCATCTTCTCACACAGTTCACACTCACTGTTGTGCATAGTATTAGCCACTGTGCAGCGTCTCGATCGATATCCATTTCAGAACTTGATTTTGGGCCGAATATATTGATTTAGATAGACAGTGATCTTTTGGGCTCTTTTAGCACTTTTTTTTTGTTAGGAGTTTTTTTTAAGACAAAAGGTCGGAGACCCGGTTTTTAATTAAAAGCCACACCGGTAGTGTTTCAGCTAGAAAACCAGCGAACAAGAAGAGTTCAGAAACAACATAGGATTACAGAAAACACCCCCAACCAACTCTGCTAATTAAAGCAACAGAA